ACCTCCTTTATTTAGGCTGTTTATTTATACTATGGTATGAAGTACTCTTTAACCTTCTTTATTTAGGCTGTACATTTATACTCTTTAACCTCCTTTATTTAGGCTGTTCATTTATACTATGGTATGAAGTACTCTTTAACCTTCTTTATTTAGGCTGTACATTTATACTCTTTAACCTCCTTTATTTAGGCTGTTCATTTATACTATGGTATGAAGTACTCTTTAACCTCCTTTATTTACTGAACATTTATACTATGGTATGAAGTACTCTTTAATCTTCTTTATTTAGGCTGTACATTTATACTATGGTATGAAGTACCCTTTAACCTTCTCTAATTAGGCTGTACATTTATACTATGGTATGAAGTAATCTTTAACCTCCTTTATTTACTGTACATTTATACTATGGTATGAAGTACTCTTTAACCTTCTTTATTTAGGCTGTACATTTATACTATGGTATGAAGTACTCTTTAACCTTCTTTATTTAGGCTGTACATTTATACTATGGTATGAAGTACTCTGTAACCTTCTTTATTTAGACTACACTTGTAATATTGTATGATGTACTCTTTTACCTTCTTTATATAGATTGTACACTTGTACTATTGTTTGAAGTACTCTGTAACCTTCTTTATCTAGACTTCACTTGTAATATTGTATGATGTACAACCTTCTTTTTATGGATTTTACACTTGCACTGAGGTACTCTTGTGTTAATTACTCTGTTACCTTTGTATCTTAGGTTGTGAGAATGCAAGGAATGCTGGAGGAGACACTGACTAAAAATATGATGCTCCAGCTAAACTTAGACACTTTGTCGCAGGTACTAATACTAACTAATACTAACTAGTTTGTTATTATTACTTTTATTGTACATTTTTTTGATTTTTATAATTGATTTTTTAAGCATTGTCATAATTGATTTAATTTATGTTTTTTTGTTTGTTTTTTAAATTTTTTTTGATTATTTTTAATATTTTTTTTTTAAATTTTATTAATTTTATTTCTAGGAAGTTGTGAGGCTATCTAAGTTAGCTCCTAGTGGAGATTAGTGGAATATCTCAAGGAATTTAATCCTCCAATATCATCATGATTCCTATATCATTATCAAAATAGTATTTTTCGATTTTATTTGTTTTATGATGTTTTTTAAATCTAGGTTTCACTTTATTATATACATCCTTAGAATAGTGGAATATATCAAGGAAGTTAATCCTCCTATAACAAAATAAGATTTTTACATTTCATTTGTTTTAAAATATTAATTATATTTATCCTTAGAATAGTGGAAGCTTTGACGTAAAGTTTTTACTTTTACTATTTTTTTCAAAGTAAATTTTTATTTCGCCTAAAGTTTAGATCAAGAATCAAAATTCTGAATATAGGGGTTCAACTTAGAATTTAGATAGTCGTATGAACAATTGTCAAATAAGAAAAAACGATCTTTCATGTAAACATAATTTAGTTAGATTAGATTTTCAAGAACTAATTTATAATCAAAACATTTATACCCACGTTACAGATTACAAATTTTAAGATAAATTGTTTAATTTTAGAATTCTAAAATTCTATCAGATTTTAATAACATGTCAGTGCTTCAGATTACACATTTAAGGCAAGAGGAACATTTTTTATTGAGAAACTAAAATATCTCCATTATAATTGCGTAGACAAAGGTTATAAAAGTATCCGTATCCAAGGGGCGGAATATCAACTAAAACTAAGATTTTTGCTCTCAAAACACATATCAAAATTGTTAACTAATAATTAATTTCAAAAAGTTCCAAATCTCTGAATGGTCTCCACTAAGGTTCAACAAAAAAGACATGTTTGAAAATTTTTAATTTTTAAAGAAATGTTCAGGATCTAGACCCGGATCCGAATCCATTTTTTTCCAGGGCGGATCCAGGATACGGATCCGTTTTAAAAGTAAATGGATCCTAAGCACTGTCTGCAACTCTGTAAATTACATCTACAGTCCCTTTAATATTACACTTGACTCTTCGTGTTGAGCTCTGTGCCTTGCGCTATGATAATAAAACATACAGGGTTGGTTCATTGGATATATCATAGTCAAGGTTTGATGTAATTTTTGCGCTGGGGTGTTATGCAGTACGTTAGACATTGGACCCTGGAATTTACAATTTGTCTTTGGTTTTCGTAAAGTTAAAAGATGTCAAAGAGGTATAGAAAAACATTGCAAGTCATTAAAACTTGATAAGATTTATCCTCCTTCTTTGTATTATAAAAATTGTTGGAGATACTAAAGATTTAAACAACCTTGCTGATATTTAATATTTTGAATTTTTAACAAATTTCTCAATATCTTGGTCAATTTTTAAGATACAAAAACGGCAGACCACATTTTGGAATTCTGAAAACAAGGAGCCTTTGATGCTACCAACTTTTTGAGGAAAATGCTATGATCACAAGATTTTAGCTACAATATCTCATTTCTGCTTACGCCAGGACCCACTATCTACCAAAGTTCTTCTCTAATTTGGACTCTGAACTTCACTTCAAACTTTTTTAAAAGTACAAATTATTTTTATAGAATGAACAATAGCCAGAATAAAAATTTGTAATAGTAAAACCTAAAATTTGCTATGCAGAGGTTTTAGAAATTTCCTAAAAATATCTAGGGTCCACTGAGATATAACAGCTGCGTAGCCCACAGACAAAGTTACATGTACACTAGCCCAGAATAGTAAAGATCGGTAGATAGAAGCATACATATAAGCGGGCCGTGGGTTGGTTACCCTCAAAGTACAGTGACGACTGTAGAGAATTTACTCAGTCCATTTCTCTACATTCATCCCTGCAACTGTAAACTTGTTTCTTCTTTTAGAAAGCCTTGCAGTACATATTCAACATTCAAATCATTATATTTGAACAGGTTTAGATCATCATTAAATATTGTGTGCAACCCTGTAGGTTTTCCATTAAAAACAAATCTTCTTGTTTTCATTGTGTAATTTAATGTCTGTGCCATTAAAAACTGCCTTATCAGAAAAAAAATTGTAATGAGCACAATATTATGTACTAGCTCACCTGTAATGTACATTGTATATCATGTACTTATCGTAGTGTACAATGTACAGCATGTTTAATAAAAATTCAGTGTACTCTACAATTTGCACAATGAATCTTGTACTTGGTGTACTGTAAACTGTTCTTTACATTCACTGTGATCTGTATGTACAATTTTTAAACTTTACAGTGTACACTATTCATTAGTTAATGTGATCAGTTCGCAATGCATTGTGCTTATGTACCATTTACACTGTACTTACTTAAAGTGCAGTATATATTTTACAATATGCTAAATCTATGAAAAGTTTAACCAGCTATTTATTAAAATGTATTATCTCATTGTTTTTACCACTCTTGTATTATGCGTATATTTATTTACTTCTTAATTTAGTTGATCATTGCAATCACAATGTCCCATTAGAAGTTTTCCTGATTTTTTTAACTATTTTGAAAACTAATCAAATTTGTCCTCTCATTTAATAGGTTTTTAATAACTGTTATTGAATTATGATTTTTAAAACAAGGGGAAAGATAGGGGAGGGAGAGTAAAATGGGACTATTGTTCCATAATCTTATTTTATTAAAGCTCACTTGCAAAATTGTGATAAACTCTTTTATGATTTTAGCGCTATGTAGTATTATTTTTCTAACGTGTGCAATAAATAATTTTGCAATAATTTGTAATTTTTCGCACATTTCAGAATCAATCAAATAAATAAGATCAACGGTACTTTCCCAGGGGATTTTTTTCAAAACTTTAATTTTCCAAGGGGATTTTTCTAAGTGAAAACTTACCAATCGGCTATATCCCTAGGCTGTCCAGACTGCAGCGCTCGGCCCCTAGTCGGTCCTAGCCCCAGCGATCTATTTCCTAGCCCATCCTAGCCGCAGTGCTCGCCCCCCCTGCGGCGCCTCAGAAGGCTTTATCTAACCTTTTGGAAGATGCTGGTTGGGAAGTCATCCTTGGGAAAATGTATTTGAGAAAATCGGACAAAACAACGTTTTTAAAAAATACTTTATTTAACGACAATATAATAAAACACACATTTTAAGCGGAAAACACTGAAATTTATAACTTGGAATTGAATTTAAGTTCAAATTTAATCAGGATTTTTAAGGAAAATAGATTTTTTTGTGGATCATACTGCTATTTTTTGCTAAAATTTTATAAATTTATTTAACAGTTGGAAAATCTAAGATTAAAGAGTGGTTGATTATCTTAATAATTCACACAGATAAAAATGTAACTAAATTGATAAAAATGTAACTAAATTAATGAAAATGTAACTAAATTGATAAAAATGTAACTAAAATGATAAAAAATTGTAATTTTTCCATGAAAAGTATTGGTTTTGGTAAGTTTTCACTGGTAGCATACTACTTACGGTTAATTGATTTTCAAAATAGGTTTTTTTTCTTATTTTTAGACACTAACAAAGTCACAATTTACAATATTTCTGAAAATGTCACAAATTTACTGACCCATTTAATGTTGAGGGTTAAGCTACAGGAATACTTAAAATACATTTTTTTTTGAATTCTTTTTAAATTTTGAATTCAAGTTATGAACTAATTTGGAAGAAACTTGTACGAACTAATGAAGGAACTGGAACATCTATATTTCTACAGTAAACTTCAATACTTTGCGCTCTACTGGTTTAAGCAAGAGTTAGAATTTGGTTTTTTGTTCATATCAACATTTCTGTTCAGAGAGACCATTTTTTCACCAAACATCCGTACGAATAGTTGCCAATAGAAGTCCCTGAAAAATAAAATAACTTTTTAATTGTTTGATAATGAACGATTCATGGGAAAATTGCTGCTGAAGTCAAAACTTTTAAATGTAAAATAGCACAAATCTAGAGACTTCGTGGTGTATATCAATACTATAAAGACGACTTTCGATTTTAGATTTTTATTTATATTAAGCATTAATCTTTCAAACAGCATGGATACACATAAACATGGAAACAAAGAGAAGCTGTCAATTAAGTACTTTTCTTTGCAAACTTAAAATTTGAATAGATGCATAAATTAGAAATTAAAACTTCGTCGTCTTCATTGTATTGATACAAACGCCGACCACTGAACAAAACACGATATTGAAATCCATTGTGAAAACTTTTAAATTTGATAGATAAGACCTTGATCACTAAGGCTACCAAAAACAAAAGCTCTTATATCAAATCAATTTCAAAACTTTAAAAGAAAGCAGTTGTTAATATGCTACCCTCAAACTTATCTTTATTTCCAGTGAACTTACATAATTTCCTTGAAGTTAAAAAGATCATTTTATTTTCTTGGAGTTTTTACTTTTTTTTTCCCCGAGGTATAAAGTTACTTTATTTACCTGTCTCGGGGGGATCTTGATCAAATGCAGTAGAAAAGCCAGCCTGAATAGAATCAAATTCATTGTAAAATTTTATTGATCAATATGCAATATGTCACCTATATGAGTCATTTTCAAGTGTAAGTATCCACATCCATATAATCTAGAGTTAAAAATTTATTAACTCAACTAACTTTTTACTCAAGTTAAATTGATCATCTTACGAACAGAAGTAATAACTGGACTTAGAAGTCGTATCTACATGTGTACTTACCCTTAAACCAATCAGAAATCGTATCTACACGTGTACTTACCCAATAACCAATCAGAAGTCATATCTACATGTGTACTTACCCATTACCAATCAGCAGTTACAGGGTGTCCCACATCATATTAGACCGAGAACGGGTCTAAATTACGATTTTCGGGACTAATCAGAAAATTTAATTAGAATTAATCATTTTGAAATATAACATAAGGCTTATATAAGAATTTTCTTGCGGAAAATGATAAGTTTTTCGAGTATTAAGGGTTTATTTTGTCGTTAAAGATTGGAGATAATCTAATATGATATGGGACGCTCTGTATATCTACATGTTTACTATCTCATTAACCAATCAGAAGTTATATCTACATGCGTACTTACCCATTAGCCAATCAGAATTCATATCTACATGTGTACTTACCCATTAACCAATCAGAAGTCATATCTACACGTGTACTTACCCATTAGCCAATCAGAATTCATATCTACATGTGTACTTACCCATAACCCAATCAGAATTCATATCTACATGTGTACTTACCCATAACCCAATCAGAAGTCATATCTACATATGTGTACTTACCCATTACCAATCAGAAGTCATATCTAAAGTTAACTTACCCATTACCAATCAGAAGTCATATCTACACGTGCACTTACCCATTAAACAATCAGAAGTCATATCTACACTTGTACTTACTACTTACCCATTAACCAATCAGAAGTCATATGTACTCGTGTACTTACCCATTAACCAATCAGAAGTCATATCTACATGCGTACTTACTCTTAACCCAATCAGAAGTCATATCTACACGTGCACTTACCCATTAGCCAATCAGAAGTCATATCTACATGTGTACTTACCCTTAAACCAATCAGAAGTCATATCTACACGTGTCGGTAAGTGAATGCTTAATTGTTCTAGAAACCCGTACAGCATCCCGAACCTACAACAAAACAACATTTAGGGATCGATTCCATTATTATACATTTTACAGTTTTTTAAACATTTCTTGAACTACGTTAGACAATTATAGGGCTTGATTTAAAACACTTATGTTATAATCAAATTAAGTTATTTCTGTGATTACAGTTAACGTGGTGTAGATATGAACTCTGATTTAATAGGTTCCTTATTTACCTTGTTGATGTTTGAGACCCTGGTAGTCATTACTCATTTTACGTTGTATTACGCTCATATTTGCGTACCATGTGGGTCGGTTTCTATTTTGCGTATTTGTATGATTACTTACGTCAAGCCGGAGTGGTCCATGCAAGAGTGACAAAACATGTCCAATTATATGTAAATCATGCAATTATATGGAAAAGATTGAAACAGAGGATTTTTTTTTCAATTGGTCAGACCAAATTTAAGGTTACACTGTTAAGTGTTAATTATTTACAACAACACTTACTATGCAGTGTTCTCGAATTTTATTTGCTGTTTGCTGATTAATTTTACTGTTGATGCCAGTTTGTCTTCAGAGAAACATGAGCTGGGAACTCTTATATTGAAGATATTTAGATCAATGCTTCATTTCGATCTTTTGTTAATCTACAGATTAGTTTAATGTTTATTCGATATCCCGAAAATGAACAGCCAATCAGAAGCCAAGGAATTTTATTATCAACCAATGAGAACACGGAGAAGGTAGGGATATCTAAAATTAAGAGCTCAAGCAGATTTTCTGTAAATTTCTAAAGCGCCCACTGTGGATATCGAGATCAAGCGATTGGGATTATGAGTATACATCCCAAAAGTTCCCAGCTCTGAGCGACTTAATAAATAAGTTGTTGATTGATTGATTGATTGATTGATTGATTGATTGATTGATTGATTGATTGATTGTTAACCTGGGCAATGAGGAGCGGAGACTCTCTGTCATGAAGATGTGCAGGACAATCACATACAGAACTCTGTTCAGATGGAAATTCAAGTTCATCTTCAACATCATCCTCATCCTAAACAGCAAGAACGTTGGGTTCACAACTTTAAAATTACGTTTTTATTTGCAAGAGGATGAGTATATCACATATATAATGAGAGTATATGTGAGGAGAGGAAGATAAGTAGGTTTTCTTTGGTTCCAGAATCCTGATTTGTTATACTCTTTTGGGGATTTTCATCTGGTACACATGCTTATTCAATATCTGATAAGTCAAGACATAAATACTTTTAACTTTTAATCAGCTCGGTAGATCATTACACAAGAAATAACACTTCCTAATACCCTATGTTTATTGGAAGGAGAAAAAATCTGTGAATAATCATATCACTATAAAGCAGCTTACTTTTATACTTGATTTTCAACTTTTGGACTAAATTATTTCACTCTTGAAATCCCAATTGCAATGCTACCCTGGATTCAGGATTGCAATTTCAAAAAAATGTTAAATTGAAAAAATTATATATCTCTTCATTCACATTACGCACGGTTTATATTTGTGGATTTCCAAAGTTGTAAAAATAAAACGTTAAACCTAGATGTAGATATTTAAAGTTTTTCAGGTCCAAACAAACCAACTCACAAGCCAAAGATAATGAATTAATAAAAAAAGTGTTAATCATTTCTTACCAGCTCTTTTTCTAAATTTTGCTTTTCACATTTGAGTAGGTTCGGTAAAGGGTTGGGCAGGGTGGTGGGACGTGATGAGGGTGGAAGGGGAGGAGGAAGAGGAGGCTGGTTGTTAGAAGGAAAAAGGTTTGTTTGAGCTTCAGCATGACGCGCTGGTTTGGCCGGGCTGATTTCTACCTCACGGAACTCAAATACTTCAACCTGAGAATAATATAGATTTAAGATCAATATTAAAGCCAAAATTAGTGATGGGCATTTTAATTTTTTTGAATGTGTTTGTTAATCGTTCATAGACGATCAATTTTGTTTGTTTTTTTCAGTCGTGCTCAAAATTACCGCTCATTTCGTTCGTTTTCGTTTTTTGTTCGTTTTTAAAACGACAACTTTTCATTTCTCTGAACGATCCATCATTCGTTTTATTCTGAACAAAACCCTTCAATGTAATGATCAAATTAACCATTACGATCATCATCATCATGATCAGAGTCTACGTTAAGATTTGAAACAACATTAAGATAATCAGCTTAAATGACACAATGAACATCAAAATTAAAATCACATCGAGATCAGCATGAAGATCAGAATCATTATTTAGATCATTATCAACATCAGGATCAGAATTAGCATTAATGTCACAGTTTACAACAAGATCATTATAAACGAGGAAAGAAAAAACCTAAAGATCAAGATGAGACTCAACATCTAGGTAAGAATCAACATCAAAATCAGGATTTCAAGAAAAATCAGAATGAGCATCAAGATTACAATTTAGAACAAGATCACTGTAAATTTTCGAAGATCAAAAATTACAACGACATCAGACTCAACACTCAACATAAAGATCAAAATCTACATCAAGACATTAGCAACTTAATAAACCGTGAGCTATTTACCTCTGTTTTTGGGATTGATGAGAGATTAGCAGAACTAGAAGATCCTGATTCATTGTCTTCAAGAATCCGCTTTAAACTAGGGATAAGAAAATTTTAACAATTGGCACACAACTTTCACCTGGCCAGCTCAGACCTGCAGTTGGTTCAAACTTTGACCTGGCCAGCTTAGACCTGCAGTTGGTTCAAACTTTGACCTGGCCAGCTCAGACCTGCAGTTGGTTCAAACTTTGACCTGGCCAGCTCAGACCTGCAGTTGAACTTTGACCTGGCCAGCTCAGACCTGCAGTTGGTTCAAACTTTGACCTGGCCAGCTCAGACCTGCAGTTGGTTCAAACTTTGACCTGGCCAGCTTAGACCTGCAGTTGGTTCAAACTGCTTTTTGATTTTTTATTAGATATACCTGTTGTCTGTTTTTTTTGTCTATCCAGAAAACGTTAAAACGGCTCAAACGATCGGTCCCAAATTGGACCATCAAAGTTGAACAATCTTTATTTAAAAAAAATGCGCAATTGAATTGATTCTTTGCCACAAACTCTGATTTTCTAATCTTTATATCTTTGCAACCCAATCTCGTACACCTAAGATATTTAAAAGTATGACTTTTGTAAAATAAAATAATCCTAGTTTGAAATATCAAATGTTTACACCATTAGGTTGCAAAGATATAGGGATTAGAACATTTCACAAAATTGGTCAAAATATATGAATAAAATGGACACTTTCATATCAACAGTTAAAAACTAAAATTGCAAACAGCCCAGTTTAATATATACATTAGTTTTTTTGTTTTTATTTTTATATAAAATCTACTCACATGATATACAACTACAGTTTTGCATTTAAACCTCTCGTAATTCTCAAGATGAATATTGATTTCTCTTTTTTTTAATATTTTTGCAGATGTAGTTTTTTTAAGCTGAATTTCAATTGCATTCCACAAATTAGGAAACATTGCGGATGGATGATCACTTCACAGAACTTAGATCTTCACCCTTTTTTAGCTTTATATCTGCGACTCTAAAGTGTTATTTTTATTGAAAAAATTACCTATTTGAAGGGGAGCTTTTAGGGCAGGGTGGAAGAGGACCAAATGGATGTTCAGAATCCTGGTCACCTTGTTCAGGGTCAAACAGGTTTTCCAGGCTTCCGATATCCTCTTGGATCTAAACAGGTTCTAGCTATATTCAGGCTTTTTAATGTCTTGGTAGAAATAGAAAACGCACTCCTGTATATGCCGAGTCCATTAGCGCTTGATCTAGCCAGAGTTTAGTCATGTGTTCAGTGTCTATTCTGAACCAATAGAAATAGTATGGCGGTGACATCTATCTTTGTATCTATCTCATTTTACAATTAGAGATATGAATCCTTCAATCGGCGCTATCAGTAAATGGAAATATTTACTTCTACTGAAACTTTAGTGCACTGCGAACCAAAATGTGAACGCTCTCAAAGAAAAATCGAGGATTATTTGTCAATTACTTCTTTTAAACTTAAGTTAGTAACAACATGCGCTTTGCAATTTAAAAAATGTATAATATGTATAGGGAGGCAAAAAAGTTTGGTGAGGTAAAATCAAAGTACAAATGATGAGTTGGTGAGGTATATCAAAGTACAAATGTTGAGTTGGTGAAGTAAATTAAAGTACAGATGATGAGTTGGTGAAGTAAAATCAAAGTACAAATGATGAGTTGGTGAGGTAAAATCAAAGGCTAATGCGTTGTGTCAAGGCTGTCTACAAATTTGAATAACTTTCCGAGTTGTCTATAGATATCAGTGAACAGATTGTTCCCTTTTTTAAAATTATTTTAATATAAACTGTTGAGGCTCCTAAAAAGTCTGACAATTTTAGATGTTCTTCGCCAGAGTCAAAATCTTCTGTAATGTAATAAATGTTTTCTCAACAGTATTTTGAAATTGAATTCTAACATTTCAAAATTCAAAAAGAAAACTCTAAACTTTGTCTTGGTTGGGTTAAGAAAAATATAATTATCGTATATTTAAGTTTACATGATTATTGAAATTTTTAAAAAATTAAAAAACAAACCTGTGGGAGAAGAGGGTTCTTGGAAACAGGGACTTCGCACCTGAAATCAATCAATCAATTTGTTTAATAATTAATTCGGATCTTTTAAAGAACTATTGCAAATTGCATTATCAATCATTACCTCTATTTGGCAACGGTTTTCTTGAGTTCATCGTGGAAAGCTGCTTTGGTCGGGAGGGGTTTGTATTCCTAGAAATAACATGTTATTGGTCGGGAGGGGTTTGTATTCCTAGAAATAACATGTTATTGGTCGGGAGGGGTTTATATTCCTGGAAATAACATGTTATTGGTTGAGAGGGGTTTATATTCCTGGAAATAACATGTTATTGGAAGGGAGGGGTTTGTATTCCTAGAAATAACATGTTATTGGTCGGGAGGGGTTTATATTCCTGGAAATAACATGTTATTGGTCAGGAGGGGTTTATATTCCTTGAAATAACATGTTATTGGTCAGGAGGGGTTTATATTCCTGGAAATAACATGTTATTGGTCGGGAGGGGTTTATATTCCTGGGAATAACATGTTATTGGTCGGGAGGGATTTATATTCCTAGAAATAACATGTTATCTGTCAGGAAGTGGCCTACACTCTGCTGCACATTGAATAGTGACCCAAAGTGTAAAAAAGTTTGGACTGTTGTTTGCCAAATTTTAACACTTTTTTGAAAATTACTAATATTTTGCTAATTTTTTTTATTTTTTTCTCAGGGGTTTCAAAGAAGGAATTACAAGAATTAAGCCCCATTTGTTCCGTGATTTTCCTTAACGTCCGAAGGAGGAGAATTCTCTCAAATGTACAAAAGCCAATATTTCCAAAAAGGGCATTTTCCCCAATTGTCATTTTGAATTAAGAACGGAATGGTTATCAGCCAATGAAAGAGCAGTATTCAAAAATCAACACATGAATGCTTTCTCTGATTGAATAGTGTTATTAAAGGAACTGTAAATGTAACTTCGAGTGACCCTCCATGCAAAGATGGCAATCGTTTTTCTCTGTAAAAGTGACTTGCGCATATCTTGCTTTTAAGACACAATAGAGAAATTCATAGAAATCAACACTTCGAGTCAGAAAACCGACTTTATCTTCCACATTTTTGATCAGATACAGGTTTTGAGGGTACCATTGTGAATCAGGCATTGTTATCTTTGCATAGAGGGTCACTTTCAGATTACGCGTACAGTCCCTTTAATAAAAATAAAAATAAAAATAAAAACTCTGCTTACTTTCCCTTTAATTAATAAAAACACTGCTTACAGTCCCTTTAATAAATAAAAACTCTACTTACAGTCCCTTTAATAAATAAAAACTCTGCTTACAGTCCCTTTAATGAATAAAAACTCTGCTTACAGTCCCTTTAATGAATAAAAACTCTGCTTTCAGTCCCTTTAATGAATAAAAACTCTACTTACAGTCCCTTTAATGAATAAAAACTCTGCTTACAGTCCCTTTAATAAATAAAAACTCTGCTTACAGTCCCTTTAATAAATAAAACTCTGCTTACTGTTCCTTTAATGAATTAAAACTCTGCTTACAGTCCCTTTAATGAATAAAAACTCTGCTTACAGTCCCTTTAATGAATAAAAACTCTGTTTACAGTCCCTTTAATGAATTAAAACTCTGCTTACACTCCCTTTAATGAATAAAAACTCTGCTTACAGTCCATTTAATAAATTAAAACTCTCCTTACAGTCCCTTTAATAAATAAAAACTCTGTTTACAGTCCCTTTAATGATAAAAACTCTGCTTACAGTCCCTTTAATGAATAAAAACTCTGCTTATGCAGTCCCTTTAATGAATAAAAACTCTGCTTACAGTCCCTTTAATGAAAAAAACTCTGCTTACACTCCCTTTAATTTATAAAAACTCTGCTTACTGTCCCTTTAATGATAAAAATTCTGCTTACAGTCCCAATAATGAATAAAAACTCTGCTTACAGTCCCTCTAATGAATAAAAACTCTGCTTTTTGTCCCTTTAATGAATTAAAACTCTGCTTATTGTCCCTTTAATGAATAACAACTCTGCTTACTGTCCCTTTAATGAATTAAAACTCTGCTTATTGTCCCTTTAATGAATAACAACTCTGCTTACTGTCCCTCTAATGAATAACAACTCTGCTTATTGTCCCTTTAATGAATAAAAACTCTGCTTACAGTCCCTTTAATGAATTAAAACTCTGCTTACTGTCCCTTTAATGAATAAAAACTCTGCTTACTGTCCCTTTAATGAATTAAAACTCTGCTTATTGTCCCTTTAATGAATAAAAACTCTGCTTACAGTCCCTTTAATGAATAAAAACTGTAACCTCAGTATTCTGATTCAGCTTTTGAGTTTCTTGATCATTGTCCTGTGGGCGTCCATTGGGATACTAGAAATCAAATATGATCAATTAATCATGTTTACGATCAAATATCAGACACTGAATCAAATAGGGTCAATACATGATTGATCAATGCAAATGAGTGTATTCAAATACAAAGTTAATTCATGATTAGCAATCAGTATTAGTCAATTATCTGATAAATATAAAAAAATTTATTTGTTTTTCTATTATTATTTGCTCGTCTTTTTGATTTCATTTTATTTTCACAGATTTTTTATATAACAGTGATATTCTCAAAAACGTGGAATTTCTTAACGATGGAGAGAAGACATGCGCGTCGTCTCTGACCTTGAAATAATTTGTGGCATTTCTTTGGCAACCTAAGATTTTAAATGCTGTTTATGATAATAAGCTTAACCTTATCTGATTCTGCTATTAACAAAATTTGGTCTGCCTTTTTTATAAGATATGAATGATTTCGATCAGAATTTGACAATTTCAATCATATTAAAAAATTGAAATTGAAATGTTTCAAATAAATACCTGGATATAAGATCCTTTTCCGTTCATTGGCTCCGGGTTCTCCTTCTCAGATTCAGGTTCAAGATCCCTGGAATTAGTGTTGTTAATTGTTTTCGATCAAAAGAAAAAAATTTTAATACAACCTGCAAGATTACGTAGTTTGCTTTTATTAAAATTTTTAAATATCTTGACCTGAAATGAAACGATCCTTAAACGAACCATAACGATCATGAAAACACATATAGTTTTTAACATCATTTTTTGATCGTTTTTAGGACTTTTTTTTGCAAAAATCTAACAAATTGTAAACTGATTAAAAGTTTACAATTTAAAACATTTGCTTTTTTCAAACACTATATATATACACTATGCCAAATTCTGACCATAAGAAGAAAATATATGCAAAAACGAGCCGAATGAAAAAATAAATTTTTAAAAAAAATTGGCATGCTTTTTTCACAATGATTACCCTTTAAAGCTTTATCTGAGTAATAATGAAGAAGATATCAGCGTGTTTTTTAAATTGTGAATTCTTTTAATTGTTACTAAAGCATAACGAGAAACTGCAATCGGAAATAGTCAATGTTAATTATGTTAATGTACATTTAATTAGAAAGCTAATTCGGAAATAGCTGAACGTACATTTGATTGGATTGCTAATTCGGAAATAGCTAAACGTACATTTAATTGGATAGCTAATTCGGAAATAGATAAACGTACATTTAATTGGATAGCTAATTCGGAAATAGATAAACGAACATTTAATTGGAAAGCTAATGCGGAAATAGTTAAACATACATTTAATTGGAAAGCTAATTCCGAAACAGCTAAACGTACATTTAATTGGATTGCTAATTCGTCCTCGATAAGACAAACAGTTAAAGGGTCGCGCTTGTGAATCTAACAGTGTTCAAATTTAATGAATTTAAGCTGCGTCTCAAATCCCCCAAAACTCGGTTTTAATTGAGCGCCGACTTGAATCTTGAAAGATTGAATACAGTTTTAAGTAGAACCAACCATATTTGAGCCGTGGCTCAAATTTAAGCCGCGGCTCAAATTCTTTAAATTCGGCCTCTGTTCACTTCCTATGGATTTTTGCATTTCTTCATTTAAATTTGTTTGTCAACGTATTTGATATAAAATTTGAGTTAGAAATGTCTAATGAAGTTTATCAATTATTGATAATAATTGCTTGTTCTGAACGTAAATCAATAGTTGTATATGTCTGGGGCCTTAGTTTTGCAAAGTCTAGAAATCAGAACATACTAAAATATTATTGTTTAACTTTAATGTAAATTGTAATTGTTTAATGTAAATTGTAGTTGTTAAATGTAAATTGTGATTGTTTAATGTAAATTGTAATTGTTTAATGTAAATTGTAAATGTTTAATGTAAATTGTAAATGTTTAATGTAAATTGTAAATGTTTAATGTAAATTGTAAATGTTTAATGTAAATTGTAATTGTTTAATGTAAATTGTAAATGTTTAAGGTTTACAAACTTTGAAAAGATTACTCACAAGTTTCTAAATAAAAAATTCGAAACATTTGTTTGCTTTTAACTATGTTAATTTTTAACTTTAAGGTAAGAAATATGCCAAAAAAAAATGTCGTATTATTTTGGTTTTCCGACCCCCTCGAATTTAAATTTGTACAGAATAAAACTTTAAATTGTTGAAACTTTTACAGAGTTCTTGTAATGCCTTTGAAAGTCCAAAAAGCGTTAAATGTTTTTTAACAGATTACGTAATTTCCAATCACTAATAATGTCATTTACATTTATTGTAAGATAAAATTCAATGTTCCAACTTACAATACATGGTTTACTGTACAATTTTCATGTTTTCCTTAGATATTTATAGCGTTTAAAGCAATATCATCATGACACAAATAAAGAGTTTTTAACAAAATATTATCATTTTCTTCCCTATTGTGTTCATTCAATCTGAAACCGCTGAGATTAGCGTTAGACCTACAGTCGGCATCATATATATCAATACAATGAAGACGACTTATACCAGGTTTTTAAACAGGATGAATACACCTAAACACGATAACAAAGAGAAACTGTCAACTATAAGCCTCTTTTCATATCTACTGTATAAACTTGTAATTTGAAAAAAGAATCAAAATATCCAAAACTTAAAATTATATTGATTTAAACGCTAACCACTGTAAGCAAAGAACCGAGCGTAAATAAAGCTTCAGCACGTGGAGGCGCTTAGGCTTCACTTTTATACACACCTTGGCCAGTTCATCTCGACGCACAGATAGTAAATCCATGCTCCAGCTGTAATAATTTCATTGCTTTGTGTAATCACAAAAATCAGCTGATCTTGCAATAGAGTATAAAATAATTAAACAAAATTTATTCAAGAAAGCTTATTTAAGAAAACTAGATCAATTTGTGCCAATTGATTCCCCATTCCAAAACCATGACTCGTCTTTCTCAGATTATTTCTTTTGACTTCTGAATTTTGAATAAATATTAAATCATCAATTGAATGATATATTAAATATATTTTAATGAAATATTTCCCTATAGCTCCAAGATGAGATGCAACCACAGGAACTATCCACCAATGAGAATAGTAACTGAATACTTCAGGGCCCCAACCAGCCAGTGCTAAATACATTAAATTATGTAAAACTCCATGAAAAAGCTCTGCACTATAGATTGAAAGAAAAGTCTCCATATCTCCAACGAAACATAACAGTTGATTTATTTTTGATCATTGAAACGATTCATGCTGGAGAACTTACCATTGCCCAGGTTACTCAGAGTTACTCAAAGTGACTCATGATTACTCAAAGTAACTCATAGTTACTCAAAGTTACTCATAGTTACTCCTGTCGTTTAACCGCACTTTGTCTTGAATGAAAATTTTTTTGTAGCAGCTATATTACCCCCAGGATATCTAAGGGTTCCCTCAAAAATTCAGCCAATTTTGTCCAACAGTTTGGCCAGCTGTAGCTAACATTATCTTCTTCTATTTTAACACATTGTAAAACAAAAACAAAAAAAGTTTTTCGATTTTCAAAATTTTTCTCTAATTTTTTTTCTAAATTTTGTGAAAATCAAATTTTACAGGAGGCTTAAATATCTAAAATTTTGACCTTTTATAATCATTCCCTGGGGTCGTGAGGACCCCCCCCCCAAAAAAAAAAAAAAAAAATTGGGCCCGATCGGTTTAGTTGTTTTGACGTTGATTGGACACAAACAAACAAATGGACACCCAAACAAACAGGCAAGCAAAGTATATATAAAGATGAATGAAGATAGCGTGGTCCTTGTATATTCAAAATGTAGTCCTTGTCTTGCTTGTGATTATATATCATATACCCGGAATTTATTTACCTGTAAAAAGTCTAGGTGCAAGATCTCGAGCGGGGTTGACCGCATAGCCGCAGTTAAACCCAAAACAGATTCCAATACCCAGCACAGTAAATCCAACGTACAAGGGAACCAACTGCTTGCTCACCTGAAATCAATCAATCAATCTAAATCACAAGAATTGAATTCATGACGCGGCATTTTAGGTTAGCGGCACAGGAGGACACATATAACTTTGATATAGGATGATAAATAATATTAGGCAGTTGTGCAGTAAAACACACAGTAAACACCCATTTCACTATGTTTGAGCTTCTGGTAAAACTATTTGTTGATAACAACATCAAAATGTAAAATATGTCTGGAATGTCTCCAATTCAACAGTTTTAAGGATGCTAGCTGTCATTATACTTGTATAACTCGTTAGTACCCAGGGGTTAACATAAGCTAAAAAAAATCGATTTATTTTTTTTTTATATGAGAATTGTATTGAATGTGGATACACTTGGGATTCATCTTGGATATTTCAGCATTATCATACATATCTAGTACAAAGCAATCATGGGAGACTGTACAGTGTATACAAGGTGTTCCAATAAACATGAGAATTGAATGACGAATTCGAGATAGTCTTTGTTAAGAATTAGCATTGTTGTACCCAAGGGCGTAGTCAAGGGGGGGGGCTCAGCACCTGTTGGGGCCTGAAAACCCCTGGAACCCATAGATTTCACTGATCAATGTGGGTGGGGCTGATCCATCTCCCTGTATACGCCTTTAGCTACGCCCCTGGACTCACTTATATCTGATTTTAGAAGTTAAAATCGAGACATGTTTGTTGGAGTTTCATTATTTGAAAGTGGTTAAAGGCTGTACGCAAACAGACGCAAACAAAATGCTATACACGGTAGATGTAAATCCTACAAATCACAACTCCATCATAGTAGGTATCACTATTCCCATGTTTATTGGTCCACCCTGTACAATCAGAGCAATCAGCGGAGGGGGACCCCACATACCTCACAATTATCCTATTGTATTTTTGGGTATACAGGGGAGGGGGCAATTGATAAGGAGGGGGGCATTGTGGTGCTATGTTGGCATGAAGAGATTGAACTAGATTTTATTCTTAAAACATTTACAATAGAACATAATGCACTGTTACATATACGGAACTGCACTGTTAGTCTGCTACATTATCTATTTATATACTTTGCTTGTTTTTTGGTTTGTTTGTTTGTTTGTAAACCCAATAAACCAAACAAATTTGCCTCCAAACATCTTGATTTTCGTAAATTTTGAAAATTTCAAAAAAGACAAAAATATCTGAGAAATTTTTTTCTACATTTGGTACGAAGAGAAAAAGCTTACAGATGGAGCAACAATCAAAAGTTAAAGATAGAATATGGGTGCGAAGCGCCCTAAAAGCCTTGTAAGGTATAAATAAATAACTTAAGTATTATTTTGTAGAACATTTGCAATTTTACATATGCAGTTTACAAAGCTTTACTTACATTGTTAAATGTAATTATCAGTATTACAGATTTAGAATTAATGTCCAAACTAAAGAAATTAAAACGTTTAAAGATTTAAATCGTAGATGAAGATTAAGAAATTTAAGCTTAAAATCTAAGATGTAAAATTTTTATAGGTTAATTTCTTGGTAAAAGATGTAAGAAGATTTAAATCTTAAAACCCAAGTTTAAGAAGTGTTACAGATTAAAACTTTTAAAGATTGAAATCTAAAGTGCAGATTTGGAGATATTTAAAGCTAAAATCCCAAACTATTTTTTTTAATTTCTTTAATTTCTCTTTTTTTAAACTCTCTACCGGGGGGAGGGGGGGGGTCTGTTTTATTCTTTTTTTCTGTTTCGTCGATCTTTCTTTTCTTAACTTTGTAACCTGGGGGGGTTGGGGTTGGCTGGAATGAATTTGGTTATATTTAATAAATGGGAACGAACGTTTGAGACTCCCTGTGAAGCAAACACCAGAAAAAAGTCATCTTTATTTCTTTTGATCATGAAATGTTGATATGATTTTTAAAAAGATCATATTTAGAGAATATTTTAACAAATAAACCGACCTTAAAATAAATGAAAAATAGAACCGCGTAGTGCTTTGTTTTTGTTTTGTCTTTATTATGAACGTGTTTAATAATATAAATAAAGATTGGGTAGACACTTTAAGAACTGTCGGTAAGAACGTGCAGTACGATATTGGACATTGGTGCACTATTCGCGTTACTAGTACTGCACTCTTTTTGCCACGAACATTTTTAATCTTAAAATTCAAGTTTGAGAGATTTTAAAACTACAATCAAAGATAAAGATGTAAGAAGATTTAAAGATTAAATTTCCCAAGATGGAATTTTTGTGAAGAAATCTTGAACAATGGAGGGCAAATGCGGGAGAGGTTTGTTGACCTACAGCTTGTACTGTCTGCGGGGGCGGCCATCTTTATTCATTTGAGACATCTTTAATCTTTAAGAGTACGACAGGTGTCACTGTATTTTCAATTTTAATTCAAAGTATATGAACATATATTTTTTTAAATCATACGATATTCTAAAATTTTAGTCTTTAAAGTAAACCCATATTCAACCCACGCACAGAATACAGCACTAATCTAAAAATATCTTTTAAATAATGATAATCCTCCAAATCCTCCTACTGTCAATGCAGACTGGAGAGTTTAATGCCAGTCTAAGCTTCTGCAGAGATCTAACATATTTCATAAATTGTACATTGTACAGTTTGTCAATTTGTTGAACATACAGCCATTGTATCAATGAACATTGAACACATTATACGACAGTTTTTTCCATTACAAGAATACAAATAGGAAATTAATGACAAGGTGGTTAAATTCTAACAAGCAAGTTTTTTTTAGTTTTTAACCCTTAATATTAATTGCAATTTTTTTGGGAACAATCTTTGTTGTTTATTTAATCTAAAAGTCGAAATATTATTTAGTATTTAACTATTTTTTTTTTTTTTGCTCTCGGTCAAAATTGAATTGCTTTTGTAAAGTTTTTCTCTAGAATAATTACTTCAATAAAAATAAAATGTACATTTTATTTGAGATAGAATGATTCATTTTCAAGTTAGAAAAATATTAAATGTTTAAAGCATAAAAAGTCAAATATTAATTCAGGTGTTACCTAACTACGCCAAGTGTTACTTTTGAATGGGATAATGCATTTTAGACCAGTTTTTCTTCGACATTCATTTTATACAAACTTGAATATTTTTTCATAAAATAACAGCGCAGAAATTATGCAAAACATTCTTTAACTTGTTAATGATTGCATTTATTTAATTTTATTTTTCTTCCTTAGGTGCTAAAACTACATATAGCACTTTTCTGTACATACATTTGAATATGTCACTTTTTTACAGCAACGCAGATTTTTTTTTGCGACAAACAACATATTTGTTCAACTCTGTTTCTCTAAAGATATAAATTAAACTGTTTTCAACTTAATTATTAACTCCATTCAGTGATTGATTTAATCCTATTGTCTAGCTCACAATGGTTGTTAATGATCAATATTATTTTGTTTTTCAAAATGTTTAACTATTTTCAGAATTTTATTTGTCATGTTTTTTATTTTATTCATTTCATAATCTTCCTTTATTCATATTTATATTCATCCTGTAAATCTGTTCTAAATATTTGCTTTATAGAATATATAATTAAAAATAACAAGAAATAGACAGAGACACTAGAACAATAACTATTTTATTTTCAATTTGATTAATAAAATTATATCACAACCTCAAAACAAACTAATCAAAACTAGGGAAAACCTCAAAATTTTGTTTTAATTGTATACTTTTTTAGTTGGATCTGAGTCAGCTTCATCAACCCCTTCATCAACAATCTCGACTTTTTCTACAGTAACTTCTCCATTGACAACGCCGACTACGATATCATCATCTCCCACCACACTTTGCAACTGTACAACTTGCTTAGCCAACAATGGTAACCCTTTCATATTTCCATTTATACTTGGAAACCGGACATACACTGACTGTACACTTGACTATGTTGATGATGGAAAACCATGGTGTAGCACTAAAGTAGGACCAGGAGGTTTCCATGTTAGTGGTAACTGGGGAACCTGTGATTCCACCTGCAAATCTGTTATAAATCCAAGTGCCTCTGCTTCCTGTCAATCTACCGAAACCTCTCAGCCATATGCAAATCTGAATAATATATTTCCTGCCACTTGTTCTGAACGTTTAAAAAGATCACACAAAAATATTTATTTTCTTGGAAACAGTTACACCTATCATGATGATCTACCAGCAATTATTTGTAACCTTGCAACTGCTGCTGGCGTCTCAGCAACCATGCATCTTTTACCATTCCTGCTGGAGATTTGGACATTTTGATCATCCAAGGTCAAAGCCAGGAGCCATCTTTTTCTCCTGGTAGCATTTATAACAGTCAGCTCCAGTCTACCAAGATGATTGTAGAAAAAATTCGAAAAACCAACCCCTGCATTCTCCCCATCTTTTTCCAAACTTGGGGACGATTAAATGGGGATTCCGGGAACTGTCCATACTACAGTCAAGTTTGTACATTTGATGGCATGCAGGATAGATTAACCGAGAGCTATAATACATTTGCATATGTGAATCAACCAGCAAAGGTTTCGCCAGCTGGAGAAGCTTTTAGACTTATTTCAAATAGAGGATATTTATTTTCTAGCGATGGATCCCATCCCTCTATGTCTGGAACCTACCTGACCGCCTGCACATTCCTTGAGACTATCTGGGGTAAGAGCTGTATTGGCAACAGCTACAAGCCTGTACCCAATGCCGACCAACTTCAACAGATTGCTCATCAAGCAGTAAAAAGCCGGAGCTGGGCGTGGCCACAGCCAGGCGGTCCTCCATGCCCTGCTTGCATAGGATAATGACCATTGGTTAACCAACCCAGCAAGAAATAATTCTTCACTTCTTACAATTTGATTTGGGACTAATTCAACTTTATGTTCAGAATTTAACTGAGGAAATTTTAAAGGATTAATAAAATGATACAAAGCAAAATTTCAATCAAATATTAATACCTCTTCATAACTCGAAACAGAAGGGATTCTTTTGCTTTTGTAAGAATCAATAAATCCCATTAAAGAATTTCAGTGTAGATAATATTTTATTTACATTTTTCTTTCAAATGTTTGTATGCCCCAAACTCTTTTATTTCTCCAAACATGTGAAAACTGAAGATCAAATATAATATGAGATAAATCTTTGTATTGTTTTAAGCTTGTTATTATATTTTTAAGGATATCTGATTCAAGATAAGGATGTGAGGGGGATGGGGGATGGGGGAGGGGTCAGATTTGACAACATGAGAGGAGGGTTTATATCTGACCCTATTTATGGTATTAAAAGATCATATCACTTAACACTGGATGTTTTATAGTTCAGTAGGAATATAGTAGAGTACAGGAAATACAGCTAGAATAAGAAATCCAGGAATGTTGTGGTAGAATACTAAATGAGTACACACTAATATACAAATTGAGGACCAAATAAGGAATTTCATCAAAATTGTGTATAAGAATGATAGAATCCCATCTATATTATGTCGTATAAATAAAAAGCTGTAAGGTGTAAGGACTATAATGTGCAAAGGTATGGGAGTATAAAAGCTGAATAGGTACAGGCATAGAGAATAGAATATATATTAGAGTGGAATTTAGACAATACTTCGGTTTGAATTTTTCAGTCCCTTTCAGCCTGAAAGGGAGTTTAACGTGTACAAATCATGTAAATGTTCACAAATTATATGCAGTAGAGTACATTAATACAGTATGTTCCCTTGACTATCCATTTCAATTTCGAATTTTTTGAAGCAGTTAAATAAACTTTATAAAATGAATTAGGTGAATAAAAAATATCATTTGATTTAGTTATAACCGAAAATCATCGTTTATAAAGTGAAAGGCATAGAGTCTATGTGAAATGATCATTGGTCAATGATGAAACCAGCCTATTTCATAATTTGGTTTTCTCTTAATATTAATTTTAGATTTTTTATAAAATCATGGTCCAGGGCCCAAAAGGTTATATAGCGCAAATATGTAAAGTACACCTGCAGTATGGAAACAGTACAACAAAATGACCGTTTTACACTTTTTTCTAGTAAATTCCACTCTAATATATATTCTATTTTCTTTGGGTACAGGGACAAAATTTTATGAATATGAGCTAGGTGTCTGAACTACCTACAAGTTACAACCGGTTCAAATCCTAAATCACCACTCAAAATCAATTATTCAGTTGAATACAATTGAATCGTAGATACAGGATTTGAACTAGTGCAGTGGTGGTTAGTTCAATAAATTCAGCCCCAGGTGTATCGTCTATTTGAGGAGCCAGACGTATGTAATTATTTGTTAAAACTTACATTCATATTCTTTCTGTCAGTGATAGCACAGAGGCAGATCAGTAGCATAGCAGTACCAAGGAATTGATCTCCGACACCGCCCGCCCAGCTCAGATGCCTGCCAGGGTAGGTGGCAAATATACCGGCCGTATCAGGGGTTGTACGGTATGCTCCACGATCATGCTCATACCTACAAGTAGGTGTAATTCAACAACTAAGCCTGATATATGTCCAGCTTAACTATTTTACTCTGTTAAAATTAAATAAATTAAACCAACAAATTTCTTTCCTCTTTTTGATCAATAATGGGTTTCAAAAATCAAGCTTAATAGATAAAGTTGCTTTTCTAATTCAAAATGAAAAAAGTGCCAAATGCTTTAAGAAACCTAGACCACGTGACAGAAGAGCGTTCTATTAGACAGGCCAATTATACTACAGTTGAAGCAGTAAATGCTTTTAATACTTACCAGACAAGAACATCCAAGTAGACCAAGAATACCACAGTTGAAGCAGTAAATGCTTTTAATACTTACCAGACAAGAGCATCTCAGTAGTCCAAGACTACTACAGTTGAAGCAGCTTAAATGCTTTCAAATACTTACCAGACAAGAGCATCCCAGTAGTCCAAGAATACCACAGTTGAAGCAGTTTAAATGCTTTCAAATACTTACCAGACAAGAGCATCCCAGTAGTCCAAGAATACTACAGTTGAAGCAGTTTAAATGCTTTCAAATACTTACCAGACAAGAGCATCCCAGTAGACCAAGAATACTACAGTTGAAGCAGTAAATGCTCCCAGATACTGAGCTGCCAAGTAGTGAGGAACCTTATTAAAATTAATATTTAATTTTTGCATTTCAATGATTGATTGATTTGATGGTATTGAATTGAAACAAACCGAAAAAAACAAGATTAGAAGTGAAAATATTTACATTATGTCGTTTAACAAATGTGGTTTAAGAACACAAAAATTAAATTGAAATTTTAGGATTATGGTAATTATATTTTTTTCTGAGGACTACTGTTATTTTACCTTCCACCAAGGGAATTTGCCAAGTGTAGCAACAGCTACAGAAACTGCAGGGTTCAGATGTCCTCCTTTACATAGCATATTGAAAAAAACATAGAGATTGGTTGACTGGGAATCCGCGGCCTGCATAATGTAATGACCTTACGTTCCTGTCTAATCTTTGAAATTTGTGGTCTGTTATTCCTAACCTATCTATGGTCTATAATTCCTGACCTATCTGTGTAATCTATGGTCTGTTATTCCTGACCTATCTGAGAAATTTATGGTCTATAATTCCTGGCCTTTCTGTGTAATCTATGACATTTAATTTCAGACTTATCTGTGTAATCTGTGGTCTGTAAATTCTGACATATTTTTGTAATAGCCTGTAATTCATAATCTCTGTGTGTTTTCTGTGGAAGATCATTCCTGACCTATCTGTGTAGTATATGTCCTATCTGTCCTATCTATGTCCTATAATTAAACTATGTGATATTATGGGTGAATTGAAAGGAACAGTGGGTGGGCAAGGTCCTGCCTCACACCTTGTATTCTATAATACAATAAGAATACAAGATTAGCATATAGGCTAGTCTCTAGACCTTTCAGTGCTTTATACAGGGTGAATAACATATTGGGAGCCATAGAAACAGATTTAAAACTTATGTAACTTACCTAATTGTTTGTTTTGTATTATAATTGAGTGTTGTTTAATATGACCAAGAAGTTTGTAATATCTTGAGTAGTTTATCATAAAATAAGAATACACAATTAGCAAGTTTTAGCGTTCTAATGTAAGCAATTTTAAGTTAATCAGAAGAAGCCACAGGGGGTGGGGTGGAAAACATCCCCCCCATCGTGATAGGGTTAAAGCTTGATAAAAATCCAAATTGAAATCGAAAGTCGTCTTAATTATATTTATATAATCGCCACCGTGGAATAGAGTATTGTTGTTATAAAAGGAACTGCTATATAGTTTGTACCAATGTTAGATTTAACTAACGTACATGAGTAGTTTGTAATATATAGGGTTCAAATCAAAATTCCGTGGAATTGTGCACAATGGTTCTTTCCGCTTGAGTATTTCATTGTGCGCAATTGTGCTATAATTGTGAACAAGGAAGCAATTAAATATTCGCGAAATTGTGCAGAATTGTGCGAAATTGCACGAAATTGCGTGCAATGGAATTTTTTTCTATCTAAAAATCAATAATTTTAACTGGAACTAACAAATTTATGCAGCAGATACAAGAATAAAAATATTTCCGTAGATTTATGAATAATCGAGGCCCTAGAGTCACTTAAGCTTTAGCATCATGTATGACTGTGCTATTTTAGTATCAAATCCGTTTTTTAGTTACGTCATCACTTGGGCTTCTAGCGAAATTGCGAGCCCAATAATTCCGTTCAATTCCGTGCAATTCCTTGCAACTCCGTGCAATTCCTTGCAATACCGCGCAACGGAATTCCTATCTGAAACTCTAGTCATAATTCCCCTTGGTTCTGCACATACTCAGCTTGAGTGATCATTGATCAGAGTTTATTATCTATATTACACAATTTGAACCTAAACCCAGTTTTTCTATTTTTTTATTAGAATTCAACATTTCCTCTTATCTCTTTATTCACGCCATGCATGTTGGGATAAATATAATATTTTGCATAAATTCAACAAGTGCATAACTGCATTCACCCTCTTGCATTTGTCTGCTTGGTGCTTTATTTAAGGGACTGTACGCGTAATTTCAAGTGACATTCCATGCAAGGATGATAATTCACGATTCACATCGTACCTTAAAAACTTGTCTTCCATCAGAAACGTGTGTGCATGAATAAATAAAGCAAACAGTCCCTTTAATATCATTTGAATATTTATGAAACAAGAGAATCAGTGTTCTTCAAGTGGTTTTTAGTCCAGAGAAGCAGTGAATCAGGATTTTTTCTGTGTTTAAAGGGACTGTAAGCGTAATTTTATGTGACTTTTAATGCAAAGATGGCAAGGCCCGATTTCCTACGGTACCCTTATAAGTTTTGTATGATCAAAGTGATTGGAGGGGGGGGGGGGAGGGGTGTAGCATTTGAATAAAAATATGCTGTGATTCCCTGAAACTCCTCCACTAACCAGCACACCGAGCAGTATTCCAATAAACCATCTAAAAATATAAAAATAAATGTTAAAATTTTTTATTTTTTTATTAACAGACTCTAAAGGTTATTTTTAATCTTGTCATTATTTTATTATTTTAAGTGTAATTACAAAGATGTATGTTTCTAAATAGATAATAAACAGAAAACCTTTATAACCAAATAATATTTAGAATATCAAACATGTTGCGATACGTTTTTTATGGCGTTTGATAAGAGGTGAATTAAGCCCGAACATGTTTAGATCTAGTTAGTTCAGCGTGACATATTCCCATTTACGTTGAGTAGGTGAACTATTTCAGGTGAATTTTAATTGAAAATCACTTGTGGTTCACCAATCTTTTTGAAGTATTTACGATCTGAATGGAATAATCCATTCTGTGAAGTTGTATAGACGCTACGCTTTGAGATATAAAAGAAGTCTTTGACCATTTTCTCCTTAAAGACGCAACAGGTAAAACTAAAACTAGCAGCAATCGATATTGAATTTATTCCTGTATCTGCCTATACTCCTTTAATTTTTCGCGAACGCTTCCTTTAAGCTATAAGTTTGCTGCTTCATTGTACACTGGAGTTCCAGACTAACTTACAGGAAGCTAGGGCAGGTTGTACATCATCATCATCATCATTATTATCATCATCATCATCATCATCATCATCATCATCATCATCATCATCATCATCATCATCATCATCATCATCATAAAACGAATCATTCAGGGGGGATTTGGGTGCTTAGCCCCCCCATTGGAAAAATTTCTGACTATAGCCCCTGACCAGCATATTTATGATAATATTTGATAAACCTTTTTTTTACAGTAGCAGCAGAGTTCGACCTTCAGATCGGATCAGATTTAAAGGATTTAAGGTCATAGCTAAAGTATCATCATTTCTGGGTATCCCTGTAGACAGGGGTGGGGGGGGGGTGATAATTATGGAAGAGGAAGTATTAATGGGGGAGAGGAAGTATACTTTGAATGTGTAGGGTTACATCTGCCTGTAAAGAAGGTTTAATACAGGGTCATTGGGTGGAGGTTCGGGGACAAAAACGTAGGACATGCTTTTCATTTGCATGGATGATATTCAAGCCATTGCACGCACCTTTGTCCATTATTTATACAAACATTATTTACAATTTACCCCCATTAATGTTTACAATTTACCACTAGTTTTACAATTTACCCCAAATATTGTTTACAATTTACCACCAGTATTGTTTACAATTTACCCCCAAGTATTGTTTACAATTTACCTCCAGTATTGTTTACAATTTACCCCGGTATTGTTTACAATTTACCCCCAGTATTGTTTACAATTTACCCCCAGTATTGTTTACAATTTACCCCCAGTATTGTTTACAATTTACCCCCAGTATTGTTTACAATTTACCCCCAGTTTATAGCGAAGAAGTCCCCCTTGTTGTTGAGAGAGAGAACAGACTGTGCAATAGATCCAGTTCCAAACAGGACAAGGATAAATGTTCCTAAAATGAAAAAAATATTTAAATTTCTTTTTTAGATATCATAGTTTGTTAAGAGACTTGAAAACAATGTTAACAAAATCTATCAAAAATAAATTAACAAATTAACAAAAATTTATGAAAAAATAAGAAATCGAAATTGAATCCTGTCCTTGTCTATAGATAGATGCTCTTTTGAAATCTAGATATTTAAGGTGTAATTGACTTTGATTTTGATTGTCACAAATCTGGAAAATATATATCTGGACTAGACTTGAATATTTAAAGAAAATATCTATATTATAGAAGCTTTTTATGATAAATCTGCAAATTTATTTATTAGACGCTTTAGGTTGTAAACTAAGCTTTACATTCTATCTTTATACTGTGCTTGTTTGTCTGTTTTTTTTGTCTGATTGTTTGTGTCCAATAAAAGTCAAAACGGCCAAACCTATCGGGCCCACATTTTTTGTGGGACCTCGCGTGACCCCAGGGAAGATTTATGAATGATCGAATTATCCTGTTAATATAACAAACTTAATTTTTGATTTTTTTTATAAAATCCACGACATTTTTTGTTTTTGTTTTAACAAGTTACAAAGAGAACATGTTCACAATTGAAATAGAACCTAGTAATCTAAGCCTGGTAACTTAAAATTGTTAAACCCAGCTGAGATGTGTTTACAGTAAAACAACTGAATTAAAGGGTTTGTTTACAGTAAACCTACTGAATTAAAGGGTTTGTTTACAGTAAACCTACTGAATTAAAGGGTTTGTTTACAGTAAACCAACTGAATTAAAGGGGTTGTTTACAGTAAACCAACTGAATTAAAGGGTTTGTTTACAATAAACCTACTGAATTAAAGGGTTTGTTTACAGTAAACCTTCTGAATTAAAGGGTTTGTTTACAGTAAACCTACTGAATTAAAGTGTTTGTTTACAGTAAACCAACTAAATTAAAGGGTTTGTTTACAGTAAACCTACTGAATTAAAGGGTTTGTTTACAGTAAACCTACTGAATTAAAGGGTTTGTTTACATTAAACCTTCTGAATTAAAGGGTTTGTTTACAGTAAACCAACTGAATTAAAGTGGTTGTCTACAGTAAACCTACTGAATTAAAGGGTTTGTTTACAGTAAACCTACTGAATTAAAGGGTTTGTTTACAGTAAACCAACTGAATTAACGGAATTGTTTACAGTAAACCAACTGAATTAACGGGATTGTTTACAGTAAACCAACTGAATTAAAGTGGTTGTTTACAGTAATCCAACTGAATTAACGGAATTGTTTACAGTAAACCAACTGAATTAAAGGGATTTTTTACTGTAAACCAACTGAATAAAAGTGGTTGTTTACAGTAAACCAACTGAATTAAAGGGTTTGTTTACAGTAAACCAACTGAATTAAAGGGTTTGTTTACAGTAAACCTACTGAATTAAAGGGGTTATTTACAGTAAACCTACTGAATTAAAGGGTTTGTTTACAGTAAACCAACTGAATTAAAGGATTTGTTTACAGTAAACTTACTGAATTAAAGGGGTTTTTTTACAGTAAACCAACTGAATTAAAGGGTTTGTTTACAGTTAACCAACTGAATTAAAGGTTTTGTTTACAGTAAACCAACTAAATTAAAGGGTTTTTTTATGGTAAACCTACTGAATTAATGGGACTGTTTACCTAAAAACTCAGCTAAAAACTCCCGAAGAAGCGGACTCCTGATACGGGGCGAACAGCCCCCTTTAGCACCCATTCTCACTAGTTATAGAGTCCTCTGCATCCTGACTCTAAATGTGTATCTAAAGGCCCGGCCTCTGACTAGAATCTGGGTCTCTGTTGTAGAGTTTAGAGGCTGCGAGGCCTTGTAGCCTAGCTTTGTCTGATTTCTCTACCAACCTCCAATACCCAGGGAACCAGGGGGAATACTTTTCACACAAAAATTCCCCAAGAGCACTCTGAAAATCCCCCATGTCTGACTGATTCTTCTTATCAAGAATAAATATCACCAAAATAAATTCTTGAGAAGCATTCCTTTAAGATGTAAAATGAGCCGAGGCCCTAAATAGATAGATAGATAGATAGATAGATAGTTAGATATCTATATAGATAGATAGATAAATAGATATATAGATAGATAAATAGATAGATAGATAGATAGATCCTCTTGAGCTTAAAGAGCAGCTGTAACCTTGAAATACTTGAATAAAATAAATAAAAAAATTACTTTCCAAACCCCAACTGATTAGTTTTTCACCTCTCAGATATACTTTGTACCTGAATCCTACAATGCATCATCTAAATTTCTATATTTTATTGTTAAAGGAATCAAAAGTTTTGTATTGATATTTTTTACCCATTAAAAGCGAATTTGAGCATTTGATGTCTTTTTCTTAACCCTCTGCCCATAAATAACCAAAACTTTCTACGTCAGGCCCCATTCAAAATGTTCCAAATATGTTTTCTTTTTTGTTCATTTTTAGAAACGTGGTCTTAATTTTTTTGTTTTTTGTAAACGTATACGTATGTACTTGAAGAACAGGTAATACTAAAGCCGATGTTGATGATGGTAATTAACGGAAAAACACTGTTGATTAATTGATAGGTAGTCATTGCAACTGTAACATTTTTTTTTTAGTAATTTCGCAGTTTTACCCGACTTGTAGTTTTTGGTTTGAATCTTATTTAAAATTTTATTCTAAATTAGACTTTATTAAGATGTACAAATGAAGTTCCTCTTGGTCCCAAACAAAGTCCTTCACTAGAAAAGGCCATACACCATACAATATTTTCAATAAAACACCTGAAAAGGTATAAATCGCTGCTGCTCATAATTTTGACAGTAAATGTGTCATAACATAAAATCTTTGTTTTGAGAAATGAAAGAAATCTTGGCAAATGTCTCAATAAGTGAAAAGTCCCCAAAATGTTAAAAAAGAAGTGAATACATTTTTTTAACAGGATAACTTTAAAATATAGGGGTTTCATGTTGTCTATAACATTTTTTTTAGTTTCAGGAAAGTTTGATCAAAAGGAACTGAGTTTTAGCCACAAATTCTGATTTTCAAATCGCTATATCTTTGCAACCTAGTGGTTCATTATTTGATCTTAAATAATTCATAGTTTGAAATATCTATGGTCTCTGACTTTGAAATGCAAAGATATAGCGATAAGAAAATCAGAGTTTGTGACAAAAACTCAATTTCTTTGTTAAGAATTGTCTTTAACACTAATAAGACATATATATTTAAGTTAATTATCAAAAAACTAGCCTTTGAGAAAAAAATGTACAGCTATGGCTACACATGCGGTAAGTTTATCAAAATACAAATCAATACTTACAAAAGTATACATCAACACAGATATCTTAAAAAATTTATTTTTGACTTTTTTGAAATTTCCAACAAGTTGTAAAAAACTGTTTAAGAAAAGTTTTTTTGACAGATTTATTTAAGACATGTTAGGATTAAATTGACAAATACCAGATACAGTAAAAATATAAATAGATCATACTATTTTATATAATCGAGTTTTTCAAGTACATAGGTTTTTTTATATATATATACTCTGCTTGTCTGTCTGTTTCTGTTTATTCCAAGGCTGAATCAATCGTTGTGGCACCTAACATGATTTCAATGAAGGTTTATGAATGGTAAAAGATAACAAATGTAAGTCCGACATTTTTTTCAAAATTTCTGAAAGCTTTTTCGGAAAAATCCCTTTAAATACGATTTAAGTAGAAAATGGCAGCTTGACGGCTGAGGCAGCAACGATTAACAGCTAAAATTGCTCTAATATGGGGCACGGAGAGCGCCCTGAAAGCATAGTATATTATAAATATCAAAATATTTATATTTATCTTCAATCTGTCTTCCCCAATGAAAATTTATCTTTGAGCACTGTTCGTGAAACAGACCTTAGTTTTCATCTGACATACTGTGCACTGTACACTGTACACTGTACACTGTATACTGTAAACTGTACATTGTGTACTGTACAGTGTATACTGTACACAGTACACTGTTTACTGTACACTGTATACTGTACACAGTATACTGTACACTGTATACTGTACACAGTATACTGTACACTGTATACTGTACACAGTGCACTGTACACAGTACACTGTACACTGTACACTCTATACTGTATACTGTATACTGTACAATGTATACTGTACACTGAACACTGCACACTGTACACTGTACACTGTACACTGTACACTGTACACTGTACACTGGACACTGTACATTGTATACTGTACACTGTATACTGTACACTGTTCACTGTAAACTGTACACTGTATACTGTACACTGTACACTGTACACTGTATACTGTACACTGTATACTGTACACTGTACACTGTCCACTGTACACTGTATACTGTACACTGTGTATACTGTACACAAGAAACTGTACACTGTACACTGTACACTGTACACTGTACACTGTACACTGTACACTGTCCACTGTACACTGTATACTGTACACAAGAAACTGTACACTGTATACTGTATACTGTACACTGTAAAATGTACACCGTACACTGTGTACTGTACACTGTACACTTTATACTGAATACTGTATACTGTACATTTTACACTATACACTGTACACTGTACACTGTACACTATACACTATACAGGGGCGTATTCAGGAATTTGTCCAGGGGGGGGGCAAATTTTTTTTTCTTTCCAGGGGGGGCTCAGCACCCGTTGGGGCATGAAAACCCCCTGAAATCAATAGATTTCACTGGTCTAGGGGGGGCTTAGCCCCAATAGCCCCTCTGAATACGCCTCTGACACTATACACTGTACACTTTATACTGCACACCGTACACTGTACACTGTACACTGTACACTGTTTACTGTACAGATATAATATTTATCCATTTAATTACATACCTATCAACCTATCAATTTATGCATCTATTTATAATTTACATAGCTATCTATCTATCAATCTAACATTCTAAAGAAAATCTATCTTTTTATCAAACTATCTATCAGTAAATCTATCTATCTAACAATCTATCAGTCAAAAGTAAATTTATCTCTCTAGAGTAAATCTATCTATCAATCAATCTATGTCATTATATCTTTAATTCTAAAGTAAACCTATCTATCTAATAAGCCTTATTTTTTTTTTATATAGTTGTTCATCTAGCTAGCTATTATTGCATATATATCTATTCATCTAGCTGCCTATCTGATGTACCTATCTATCAGTCTATCTATCTATCTATCTATTTATCTGATGTACCTAGCTATCTATCTATCTACCTGTCTATCAGACTATCTGATGTACCTAGCTATCTATCTATCACGAATCCTTACGCAGCCTTAGTTCATGTGAATACAATTTGACCTTGGGCGAAGAAATAGGCCTTCTTCTTCTTCTTCTTATACGTAATATTCCTTCTTGAGTTTCTTTCAAGTTCTTTATTAATATTGAAAGATTATTGTTTTCATGTTTGTTCAGGATTTAGATACTTGAAAATGTCACAAAATGTGTCAGCATGTTTTAGTTACAAAACACAATTTATATTTGAATAAATAAAACAATTGACAGTTGTTCTACTGTTTTCTAGTTACCCCTGTATTTTCTATGATAGAGGGAAAACTGGAAAAAATATACTGCGAAAACTTTTCTTGAATAAAATTTAATTATTTTTATATTATTTAAACTTAATTTTCAGCATGCTCACAGTTAATAACAAACCATGTAAATTTTTGATAAAATTATGTTAATTAAAAATTGAAATAAAATAAACCCGAATTACACCGAAGTATTTCAAGATCAATTTCAAATCTTAAAATATTCTGAGCTGAAAACTTTAGAATGGTGGATATCAGGATTAAGGCTTAATCCACTCTTTTTCTTAATCTCCAGATTAAATATTGCTTGTTTACCTCATGACTTTAATCTTCAGATTAATTAACCGACGGGATATCTGGATATTTCATTCTAAAGTTTTCAGCTCTGATTAAATTGGATGTATCTCATACTTTGTAACAGCGTTACATCAGTCGCTCCTGGGCCGGCACGGAGTGAACACTTTAAACGGAGTCAAGATTCAAGAAATCCGTGAGTCAGAAACGTTCTGTTGCCACAGTACATTTTGCGAAAATTGCGGATTCTCTGAATTTCTTCCCGGATTCCCAGTGATAAATTGAAAGAAAATCTTGTACAATTTGGAGTACAGAAATTTATCTAAAGTTACAATTTCCAAGTGATTTCAGAAAAGGTGTGATTAAGTTATGCAAACTTTTGAATAAATAACAGAGCCCTCTTATAAAATCTATCAGGTAAGTTAATTCGTATTACTTTTTAAATGTGAATTTAAATTTTTATCCTTTTCTGAAAGCCAATGGCCTGGCGCTAACTGTGTTTACTTTTCTAAATTTAACAAATTTAAAAATATTCTACAATTTTTGTCATGGTAAATATTGAAATTGAGATATCATAGTTTTCACAACAAATCCTTTTCATCCTCGGTTAAATCCATGTTTTTCTATCTGAAATTTGTTTGTTTTAAAATTGCGGTAATAGCGACATGAGGAGTTATGCTACAGAAACAATGAAGGAAATATTATTAATTTTTTACCACTATAGTAATAACCAGAAAACTCTGAAATAGGAAGACGACTTTTATACTTAATTTATGACTTTGAATAGTCCAATAAGCATGAAAAACAGCAACTGTGCAATGAAAACAGACCCAATTTATCTAATTAGTGACCCAAGAAGTGTTTATTAAAACTATTTGCTTTATAACAACATTAAATCCACTTGAGTATTGCTATAAAGTCACATTTCTCTTACAGAGTTTTCTGGCTATCACTGCATGAATTATGGAATCTTTCTTTTGTTGTTAATCTTAAAATATCCAGGGCTCAAGGGTACCGTTGTGAATCAGTCTTGTTACGTTTTAATTGAAATTTACTTGACGTTAGGTTGTTGACAGTTAAACAAGGAACAAACGGACACAGATTAAAATCTGAACCGTTTAGTGAGAAGTTAATGGTTTATAAAATGATGCTCGTCATAATCACTTTATTCAAATTTTAAATCTTCATAGTATAATACTTGTATTAGATACCTACGGGGAGTAGGCATACGTATTTCATAATTTTGACACTAAGATATGCAAAAAATAAATGAGACATTATATGACAAGAATTTACTTAAATAATTATTCAAACATACAAGAAATTACATAAATAGATAATCAAATATACATGAAAATACATAATTAAACAATCAAACATACAAGAAATTACATAAATAGATAATCAAATGTTTATCTTGCAGTAAAATAGGTGCAGTTTTAAGTGTTCTCTATTGTCTGTTTTTACACTTTTTATTTAATCTTGCAAAACATGTCAACTAATGTGAGACATTTTCGTTTTCCTTGTTATATTTGACAATTGTGACGTCGTGTATACATGGTTCATCTCTCTGTTGCCACCTATATAATCTATTTTGTTAAGAAATTAATTACATAGATAGGACTAAAGCAATTCGAACTTAAGACTCACTGCAGTTGCTCAAATTTCAGAACTGCATCAGATTGCAACTCTCTATTATACAATAGAAATAAATACTTAAAAAAACACAGAAAAACACATGTGGGTGCATAACTGTACTGTACTGTACTGAACCGTACTGTACTGCACTGTTCTGCAGTTTACTGTACTGTGTGTACTGCTCTGCAGTTTACTGTACTGTAGTGTACTGTTCTGCAGTTTACTGTACTGTAGTGTAGTGTACTGTACTGTACTGTTCTGCAGTTTACTGTACTGTAGTGTAGTGTACTGTACTGTACTGTATTGTACTGTAATGTACTGTACTGTACTGCACTGTACTGTACTGTACTATACTGTACTGTACTGTACTGTACTGTACTGTACTGTACTGTACTGTACTGTACTATTGTATTGTACTGTAATGTACTGTACTATACTATTCTGTACCGTAATGTACTATACTGTACTGTACTGTACTGTACTGTACTGTACTGTACTGTACTGTACTGTACTGTACTGTACTGTACTGTACTGTACTGTACTGTACTGTACTATTGTATTGTACTGTAATGTACTGTACTATACTATTCTGTACCGTAATGTACTGTACTGTTCTGTACTGTACTGTACTTTGTTCTTATCAATCTACCAACCAAAATATCGATTTTATTTCAAGAAATTGGGAAAGGTAGATAAACACCTATCAATTGAATTTGATAAATTTGAAAAAAGTAATTTCAATGTTTAACCGACAAAACAGTTTTTGATTAAAAAATATGAAGAATTTTTAAAACGGAAAAAATTAATTTTTTCAATTTAAGAATATTTATGCATACATGTCTTTGTATTCGTTGTAGATGTGCGAGCATATTTTGCCTCAAACGGCGCGTATTTTGCATAAGTTATTCTTAGACTCCTTCCGCAATTAATCAAATTAATATACGCGCGCGCGCCTCATGCTTAATGGGTTGTGCACGCTCATATCGTATATGCAGCCCTGAAGCGCGTCTAATAGTAAAATGGAAAAATTCAATTAAAAATATATAGGGTATCGTATTGGAAGAATTGTGAATATATATACTGTAAGTTCACCGCACATATCAGTATATATTTATTTTTATGTAGGTATGTTCAATTTAACTGGCCAAATTGGTGGAACAAATTGGCTGACATTTTTGAGGGGGAAACCCATGGATTGTAGCCGTGTGTTGACATTGATAGTCAAGAGAATCTGAGCTGTACCTGGCTAGATACGTTTCGAGAAATTATTATGCAGTAGGCTTTTACTAAACCCTTGCTACTATATTGTGTATCTTGTATTGCATACCATATATTCATTTATTTATTTAAAGCAAACTGCTGGGGTTATTCTGGTTATGGCATATCATATATTTTATATTGTATACTGTATATTGTATATTGTATATTGCATATTGCATATTGTATATAGCATATTGCATATGGTATATTGTATATTCTGCATTTGCATATTGTATATTGCATATAGTATATTTCATACAATATATTGTATTTGTATATTTCATATTGTATATTGCATATGGTATTATATTTAATACAATATATTGTATTTGTATATTGCATAATGCATATGGTATATTTCATACAATATATTGTATTTGTATATTGCATATGGTTTATGGTATATTGTATATTGTATATTGTATATTGCATATGGTATAATGTATATTGTACTATAGCTCTGAAACACAGCTTTCGCTGTAACATCCAACCCACTCAACTTAATTTCTTAAAACCAAGTTAAAACATTCCCATGGTTCTACCGAGTTCCCCAATGAGACACATCGGTCAAGGGGTTCATGAGTTATGATCGGACATAAAAACAAACAAACAGAGATTACTACTTTACATTTACAGATGTACATGTTAAGCTTTCAGAGCTGAAAACTTTAGAATGGGATATTCTTAATCCCGATCGGTTAATTAATCTAGAGATTAATAAAAAGAAGAGAACAAGCATCATTTAATCTCGAGATTAAGAAACAAAGTGGATCAATCATTAATCCCGATATCCACCATTCAAAAGTTCCAAGCTCCATTTGATTTCTTATCATAACAGTCTTTTCTAGTTATTCTAATTTTGACTTTCAGGCTTTCTTACTTGCATCTTATAAATCAAAATCACAAAAAAATGTTTTAAAAATTCTAAAATGTAAAAATTGTATAGATAAAAAGGAATTCCGATGACCCTCCGCTTGCTGAAGGGAGGTTTAAGATAGGTTAATAATTCATTCCATAATTTTTCTTCATTTAGATTTCCACAAAATCAATATAATCATTACTTTTCAATCTAAAGGGGAAACATCTTTTTTACGTTTTTGTGCGGAGTGTGCAAAAGTTTACGAGCAATTCATGCAAATGTTTTCGCATAAAATTTGCGAGGTCCTGAACTGGTATACTGTATACGGAAGTAAGTTTACACGTTGATATCTTAGAATTCATCTAGGCTAGAGATGGGCATCTAGACTAGAGATGTGGATCTAGACTAAAGATGTACATCTAGACTAGAGATGTAAGTCTAGACTAGAGATGTGCATCTAGGCTAGAGATGTACACCTAGACTAGAAATGTACATCTAGACTAGTTTTGTAGGATTAACAAGTTATCTTCAGATTACACCAACCACAGGTTTTACATCTATGCTAAAGAAGAACATCTAGACTAGAGAAGTGTATCGTTTTTAAGAACGAACGTCGTTTAGAAGAAAACGAATGATGGACGAACGTTTTGGATTGTTCAGAGAAAAGAAAAAACGAGTGTTTTTTTTAAAACGAACTAAAAATTACCGAACGATTTTAAATCTTTGAACGAGCTTGAAAAAACTTTAGTGTTCTTTTACTAAATGAACGATTTGTCGGACAATTTTTAGAAAACGTTAGTTTTTGTTTCTGAACGAAATATTTCATTGAACAAGCGATTTTACTAAACGACCGTTCAGTGAGGAAGCGAACAAAACAGACGGAAAATGAATCATAGTTTTGAGCGATTGAAAAAAGCGAACGAAAAGTGTCGTTCACTAACGATGAAAAAACGAAATGAAAAAAGTCGAACGTGTCCATCTCTAATCAAGACAGGGTGTCTAGTGTCGCACAGGGCGATAGAATTTGTCATTTTTGTTTCCAAAGAAAATCAAAACATTTTTGGGGTTTTGACAAAACTTTTGAACTTGGCATTCTTACTTAGATGGCCACATAGCTAGGGGCATATATAGGAATTTGTTCAGGAATTTTCTTACCCCCTCCCTGCATACGCTTCCACGCATTGCTCACTGCTCGGCTCTTAAGCCTGTCTTAGTCGCGGCGCTTGGTCCCACCTGTTGCAACTACATCTTGCAACCCTCCCCCTCCCCTCTATCAGATCTAACGATTAACCTGACTCCATTATTCGTGATCTGATTTTAAAGATAAGGTGGGGGGGGAGGGGGAGGGCAGTAGTTAAAAACTGTGGTAAAAACTTGCTAAAATCAAGGATAATTAATGTTAGGTTTAAAAATTTAGATTTAACTTCCAATTATTAACCTTTATATAATTGTCTACTGTAATATTTTTAGCATCAACAATTTAATGGGTGAAATAAAGTACAACAAAATCAGAGGGTTTAAGTTGAGAGGGTAGTTCAGGGTAGGGTAAATTAAGAGGGTAGTTCAGGGTAGGGTAAATTAAGAGGGTAGTTCAGGGTAGGGTAAATTTGGTTCAGGGTGAACCTAGCTGTGAAAATTATCGCCCCCTTTAAAAATTTTTCTCTTTTGAAGCTTAAACCCCATGTCTAAATCAGGCCTACATATATGCGGCTTTAATACCTCCCCTCCCCCTTCCCCCCCTTCTCATTGGTTTCAAACTTATGTTAGTGAAAGGTTTCCTGTCTACCCTTCAATCTTCCATCTACAGCTAAATATATTCAATTATATTCAGGGTAACCCTAAATATATACAACTAGCTTGGGAACCCAGCTTCACCCGGAAACTAAATTTTCGCTATAAAAGGCAACACACATAACTTATTTTTTTTAAACCAAGCTAAGAACATCCCTGGGGTTCAACTGAGTTCCCCAATCAAAATATTTAAGGTAAATCGGATTACTACTTTATATATATACTAGCATGGGAACCCAGCGCTGCCAAGGTTACTAAAAGTTACTCCCGCCGTTTATCCGCACTTGAAAGATTTTACTGAGAAACTAAATTTTCGTTATCAAAGTAAGTGACCGGCAATTTGTATGGTAGTCGAACTGAGAATGTAGTATTGTTGGAGAAATATTTTAGGATTGCTTTGAGACATATAAAACTTTTAAATGAAATATAATTTCTGAATTTGAAATCAAAGTCGACGTGTTCAAAACCATTCATTTGGGTGGTTACGTTTTGAGAATCCAATTTGTTAAATTATTAAATAACGACGACAAAAAAAGTAAAAAAAATCGACAGTAAACTAATTAGATGTTTAGGAATACATTTCTCAATTGAAATTTTCTTAATAAATAAATGTTAGAATTAATCTTTTCTTTTCATCATTATATTGAATTTCTTATTCTGTATGAATAATTGTTCGCACTTTTTTCAAATTCTTTTAATGTCGTCTTTTCAATAAAAGTTCCAGGAAATATACAGAAAATATCTTTAAACAATGAGACATTACAGAAACCAATAACTGAATAAGATTACTTATTTTCGATGATAATAGTTAATTTTAATTTTTTCAACATGCTACTGAGCAACTTATTAGTTCACTGTAGAATTTTTACTACATTTTTCGTCGTCGTCGTTTAAACACTGATTCTCAAAATCATCCCTCAAAAATTAACAATCTATGAGGATTTTAAAGATTGAATTTGCGCCTTTGCAGAACAAATATGCACCTTAAAAAACTCTCATAGGTCTCAAATGATTCCTAAAATAATTCTCCACAAAACTGCATTTTCAGTTGAACTACCATACAGTGCCGGTCACTCCCTTTAAAGTCGACCCTCTCAACTTAGAATCTTAAAACCAAGCTATAGAACATTCTAGTGGGCCTCCCGATTTCCCCAATCAAAATTTGATGAAAATCGGACCAGGGCTTCCAGAGTTATGATTGGACAAACAAACAGACAGACAAAAAGATATTACAACTTTATATATTATAGATATACATATAACGGGTTGACTCTAAAAAACAGTCATTTTAAAACACATGAAATCCTCTTAGAGTATATTATAGAGTGCATTTTCATAGAAGTGGTCTTATACAGTGGTCGCTGATTATATCAATACAATTAAATTTTTATTTTTTTTTGAATTACAAGTTTCCAAGTAATTCAAGAGAAGCTATTTAATTGACAGCTTCTCTTTGTTTCCATGTTTATTTGAATCCATGCTGTTTAAAAGCTTGATATAATATCAAAATAATCGAAATCAAAAGTCGTCTTTATTAAATTGATATGTACGACGACGAAAGAAACTTTGGTATTCTTATGCTTCATTGCGAAACTGAAAAATAAAAATAAAAAATTCCACAAAAAAGAGAAAAAGTAAAATAAAAAAACAAAAATTTTAAACCATTTTGTAGTGTTTGTTCTTTTCATCAAATCTTTAATTTTATTCTGAACAATTTTATGTCCATTAATAATGATTTATTTATTAAATAATGGTGATTTATTTATTAAAAATGGTGATTTATTTATTATTAATGGTGATTTATTTATTATTAATGGTGATTTATTTATTATTAATGCTGATTTGTTTTTAATAATGGTGATTTATTTATTATTAATGCTGATTTATCTATTAATAATGATGATTTACTGTAAAATTCATAATTTCAAAAACTACGAAAATTCACTTTAATCCCTTTAAACACTAAATTTGTTACTTAGACACGTAATTCCCACCCCACTACCCCCTCCTTAAGATGTCTCATCATTTGGACCATTGTTCATCGGGGCTATAGAGCTACACACCTCAAAACATTATCGGTACAAGAAATGCATATAGTTCAGTTCATATAACATCAATTGTTTTGATCAATCATGGTGATTTATCATCGGTCGTTCTAAATCCTTATCAGAAATAAAACATAATAGTATCAAAAACCCTGATAAATCTAAATCAGAATGACACAGCGTCAATAGTCCAGAAAAATCTTAGTCCTGAATATATAGCATTAATAGTTCCGGATAATATAGCATCTGCTCAGTTCTGGTAAATCTTATTCTAAATGATATAACACCATTAGTCCCGATTCATCGTAGTTCAGATGATAAAGCATCAACAGTCATGGTGAATCTTAGGTCAGATGATATAGCACCATTAGTACCGATGTATCTTAGTTCAGATGATATTACATGATAATCTGCAGGATCAGTTCATGTCAGCTCATTTGGCCACAATATTATCTACCAACACTCACTGTATATCTCACGACCTTTAAATAACGTAAATATTTCAAATTAAAGCTCTTCGCTCTTATATATTTATATATATATATTTGAATGTACTTATGTTAGCTATAGCTGGTCAAACAGCTGTACAGAATGGGCTTAAATGTTTTGATGAAACCCATGGGTACCCTGGGCGGGGCTTGGAGGTAACAGGCTAAAAAATAATGCGAATTTTTTTTTCTTCTTTAAAAGTCAATCTTTCAAAATCCTAATTTTTTTAATTTAACCGTCAACGCCGGGAATTTCAGCTAGTATTTCATAATTTATAACTACTTGCAACATCAACATTTGACAAGCAAAAACTTTCTAGATTTTTATAACTTTAATAAATGCTTGATCGTAGACCTTTGGAAACATACGCTGCCAACATTTATATAATCAGTGTGCTATATTAATGTGCAGTGGAAGATTTCGTTTTTTTCTAACCTTTAATTTAAAAACAATTTTTGAAAAGGGGGATGCATTGGGAGTTTGTTTATTTGTTTGTATGTCTGATCATAACTTACAAACCCCTTGACTAAATTCCATCAAATATTAGAAAACTCGACCAAGAAAATGTTCTTGGCTTGGTTGATTTTTTTACAGAGAAACCCAAGTTTCCAGAGAAATCTGGGTTCCAATCTAGCTTTTTCACATTAAAAATACATACTTAATTATCAAAGGGACTGTGTACGTAATTTCAAAGGGAATGTACGTAATAATGTAATGTACAATTCACAATCAAATTTTTTAGCTGACAAACAAGGCTGTCTCTCATTCATTTGTTATCGGACAACGTTATAAAGGGTACCGTTGTGAAACGAACTATGTTAGGTACTTTTCCAAAGAATGTTTTCTCAAGTGGCAACTTCCCAAATGCGCAAAATCCCAAGCGGAAACTTCCCAAGTCTACCCGGGCTGCATCGCTTGGCACCCATCCGAGTCGCGGCGCTCGGCCCCCTAGCCCATCCTAGCCTCAGCGCTGGGCCCTCATTGCAGCCTGCGGCGCATCAGAGGGCATATCCAAACTTGTGGGAAGTCGCCCTTGGGAAAATCCTTTTTGGGAAAGTACCTAACACCCCTGCAATCTATTAGGGTAGGATCACTTGGAAACGCACGTACAGTACCTTTAATCAGATCTTGAATTAATATATTCAGTCCAGAATTTATTTTAGATTTGGATGAAAAGATGAAGATGGAATACTTCAGCGATAATTAAAAATATCAATTTAACCTTTCGTACGTTTAAATATTATGAGGTCAACAAAATCAAACCCACGTTTTGGATAAAGAAACAGATTATAAACTCGAACTCCAATTTCCTAATATCTTTGCATCCTGAAATCCGATAGATTTTTGATAAATCAATTTGTGTATTTTGCTAGATAATCTAAATCTTCAGTTTGACATATTAAAGATCAATGATATCAGGTTGCAAAGATTTGGTGGATATAGAAATGATAAACTTTAGCATGTTAACAAGTTTAACTCTTGAATATAGCTTAACTATGAGTGAAGAATTGGTAATGAATCCCTTTAATTGAAAATTGTATGCTGTTCCTTTAAGGATGTGTGAGCTGTTGAGTTTCACTGAGAATGCAGTTTGGCATGCTTTCGACTTCTTAGCTCTAGAATCAGGGGGATCAGCTACCAAATCCAAACTGAAGGTAATTACTAGACACTAGACACTACACACTAGACACTAGACACTAGACACTAGACACTAGACACTAGACACTAGACACTAGACACTAGACACTAGACATACTACACACTACACACTACACACTACACACAGTGCAGCTACGTAGGAAGGTTTATAGAAGGTAAGTAGCGTAGAGGGTAAGGTAGGTATAAGGTAGATTTATAGCTTGGTAAGAATGTGGTGAGGTAGCTAGATAAGTAGCAAAGTAATATATAAAGATAGATAGATGAACAGATAAGTAGATAGATAGATATTGAATACACCTACATTATTGTATGAAGCTTGGTATGAAGTATGCCCAAGTATGCCTCTGAATAAATATTATAGGGTTAGGTGGGTGCATTAGTGCAATTTAAAAACCATCCAGACCCCCCCCCCCTCTCCTATATCACAGTCCCCAGCCTTCCTTCTACCCCCTCAATATCCTAACCCCCCGCCCTACCCCTGCTTCTGCCTTTTGATGCTAAATTGAAATTTAATTAAATACGATATGTTTAAACACTGAACATGGTTTAATACAATAGGGCAGGATAGGACAGGCTTGGATATGATTAGACAGGATAGGACAGGATAGGACAGGATAGGACAGGTTAGGACAGGATAGGACAGGATAGGACAGGATAGGACAGGATAGGACAGGATAGGACAGGATTAAACAGGATAGGACAGGATAGGACAGGATAGGACAGGATAGGACAGGATAGGACAGGATAGGACAGGATAGGACATGATAGGACAGGATAGGACAGGATAGGACAGGATAGGACAGGAATGAATATTGTTTAGGTTTTGACATCAAGTCTAGGAACTATACTAGAGGTGCCTGGGTCTGAAAATGGTTTACAGGATTACAGGTTACCCATTGATTTAAGTATACAGAGTGTCCTGAAAAATGTGCATTGAGTGACAATTTCAAGATTGTCTTTGTTAATGGTTTTAATTTATGGTCAAAGTATTCCAAAGAGTTCTCACTTTTTAAGAAAACAAATACAGGGAGAAATGTTCGAATACAAAGTGCAAAGGAATGGATTTCATCTAAAATTGTCTCTCAAAATTTGTCCTTCTAATTATTTGGGGTTTTACAATGCTCTAGATAAGCACTCAGCGGTAATATTGAAATCCGGCAATAAAAGTGTTATCTTTTTCTCCAATTTTAACAGTTTTATGATTCAAACTTTTTAAGATCACTTTCTTCTCCCTCAAGTGATATTTTACCTGTTGAAGCATTGTGCTTTCCCTGCAGTATTCATCAACGTGACTGTAAAGAATTAGGATAAGCGGATTTTAATTCATTTCTAATATAACAAAGTTTAAACTATCTCTTGATGAACGAAAGAATCGGAACACATTTTCAGAAAAGATTTTATTTGAAGAAATATCTGATGACTTTTCTTTGATTTTGGTGAAATTTAATTACTTTTTGGTATTATAGAAAAAAGAAACATTAAACTTATATTTGGACTTAAAGATGTAAAATCTCCTTTTATTCAATCCCGGTCAATTCTAAATCCTGAGCTGAAAACTTAAAAATGAGATATCCTTAATCCTAATAACCTAATCTGAGTATCCAAAGGACACACTTTTGATTTTCTTCTTAAACCGTTCTTTCTTAAGGATAAAGTAGAGAAAAATCAAAAACTGTTTTTTTAAAATTAGATAGTCCTTCCCGTTTCTGTATATTAATCTCAATCGGCGCACAAAATTTCAAACATATCGCTCCGATTGGTTGAATTGGATACCCTTTTCAGGATACAAGTGCAAGATTAGATTAGTCTTGATATTAAGTAAAAGAGAGCATCAAGCATTAATCTCGATATCCAATATTCTAAAGTTTTCAGCTCTGAACGGATAAAGTTATGTTCATGTAAATTGGGGAAGCTGTATCATCATCCTATTTGGTTCTCGTAGTAAAATACCTTGTTTCTAAAGTAAACAATATTTAGATAGAATATAAGGGGGAATGACAAGATTTGCACCTTTTTAAGTTTAATAATCTATGAGCCTCTCATTTATAAACGATAAATGCTGTGTACATAATTCTGATTATCTCTTATTAATTCAGGACATAATAAATTCAATCAATTTATTCTATAAATAATCAGAGCCAAAAACTTTTGAATGAATCCTCAACTCCCTTACAATCCAAAGTCAACGAATGAAAGAAATTTATTTGAAGCTAGCTAGCTTTGTTGTACAACCTATAGTTTCTTTATGATGCCACTTTTAGAAACCATATTTAACAAACGTTCTCGCTCAAAAAGATGGATAAATAATTAGGTTCAAAATTTTGGAACATTTGCCAATGAGAAAGTTTAATGATTATCAATCTTTTTTAATTTATCATCTTAAAAGTTTTAGAAAAGAAAGATTTCCGTTGAGTCGATTAATATTTGAATATTTAAGATTTAATTAAATAATATCTTTTTCATGTGGATAGTCACTTTTCTCTGCAGTTGACAACACCGAATAAATGTAATCTTAAAAGTAAGACGACATTTAAAACCAAGACTGATTTATGTTCAGGAGTACAGATACACTTACCTTCGCTCAGTACAGGTTCTACCTACAGAGGGAGGTCTTTGCTTCGCTTCCAGATAAGGTTAATCACTCACTTGCTTTACAATTGATCAATCAATTGATCGATCAATTGATCGATTAATTGATTGATCAGTCTCGACTCTATCTAAAATTTGCTGTTGATGATGATCCAAACATCATAGAGTATACAGGGTTACCCACAAAAAATGAGACTTCAGAGACAACTTTTTCTTTATTCTATACAATAAACTTGTTTTATTGTTTGCAAAATCATTAAATAAGCCATTCAAATATTTAATAAGGCAAAAGACTTAATGTGATATTTTTAGTGTTGCAGTGTCCGAATTTAATGAATTCAAGCCACGTCTTAAATCCCCCAAAAACCGGTTATAATTAACCGCCGGCTTAAATCATGAAAAATCTAATACAAATTGAAGTGGAACCAACCATATTTCAGCCGCGGCTTAAATTAAACCGCGGCTCAAATTCTTTAAATTCGGCCTAAGGTCGCCTTCACAGTTTCATATTTTGTGGGTAACCCTGCGGCCTCCATACATTTTTCTAATATATATTTTGCGGTCTGGGTTGACCCTATTCATTACTTTAAATATGTTTCTGTCATAAGGATTGAAAACAAGTATTATCAATTCAATTGAAATTACAAACTATAAATTCAGTTGCTTGGTGCTTATTGCTTACTCACTTACGAACCTCCTAACTTACTAATCTTTCATTAAATATCTCACTCACTAGCTGCTGATTGGCTCCATAAATTACTAACTACACTCATATTGACTGATGATCTTTCAAATCTATTGTTTTGCAGATGAGTCTTGAAGATCAGATGGAATTGGAAAATAAAATAGAAGACGTCTGTTGGTTGATTTGTAAAACACCATATATAGGTAAAAACTCAATGTTTTTTTTTGTTTTTTTAAATTATGAATCCGAAAACCAGTCGCGAATGTTTCTCGTATGTATCTCCTTTTTATTGAAAAACTAGCTGAAACTCCCGGCGTTAAGAAAAAAATCTATTGTTTTAGCCTATAACACTCCCCAGTCCCCGGCCACCATGAGTGTCCACAAAAAGTTTCAGCCCAATCGGTCCAGCCATTTGACCGGCTATAGGCAACATAAATATATACGAAAGTCTTGTTTTATTATATGATATCCACCTAAAGTATTGTTAAAAAGTGCTTTCAACTTTCTCAGGTGTATACAGTGAGAACCAGAAAAATGTGGTATAGGAAGACGACATGAAAGCAATATTTAAAGTGTATTTAATGTTGTTAAACAGTAATTAATAGTTTTGCGAGTAGTTTAAAGACCTGCACTGCAGATCTTTAATGTAATTTGAAAATTGTAGTCTAAAAGTCGTCTTTCTTTTCCCAAGTTTTCTGGTTTTCACTTTTGATCGAATTGTAAAAAATGCAAATGGTTAATTACTCTTTTTTAAAGAAACTCTTAACAAAGTGACAATTTCCGATTCTAAATGGTATCTTTTAAACCTTGGCTGATAAAGGAGGAATCAAACAATTTTATTTTTTGCTAAAAAATTAAAAATCTTCTATATTTGAAATAGAAAAACAACGATATCTTTGATAATCCCAATTTTGGACAAATTATGATTTCTTAAACAAACTTCAGACATTATTATTATTAAGAGATACATTTTATACAGTGAAACCCTTAATAACGAATACATCAGAAGAGTTTATCAAATGTCGTCTTGACAATTTTTCAATGAGTTTTATACTATATTACGTAAATTTCAGTAATTGCGAAAATAAATAAATAGTTATGAATATGCGGTAACAGTTTCAAAGAGTTCCATTTAATCATTTAATTCAAAAACTAAATATCTGCAACATTCCATTATCAGAAAGTGAAGAATACGACATTTGATGAATTCTTTCGATGTATTCGTTATTAAGGGTTTCACTGTATATTTGGTATAGTTATACAGTTTACACATTGGAGTCTAAAAATACTACTGAAAAAATTAATACAAATATTTATGACAAGTTTTATGATGCAGTGATAACCAGAAAACTCTGAAATAGGAAGACGACTTTTAAACCCCAGTTATAGATTAAACCAGTTCAATGAACATTATTGACATAACAATTGTACAGTTTAAATATAGACCATTTTCACTTAAATTGTGCTTTGCTAACTACTAGTAAAAATATTTGCTTTGTAACTAAATCAAAACGCTGAGGTATTGCTATAATGTCGTCTTTCTAATCCATTGTTTTCTGGTTATCACTGTATTTGACCAGAGTTCTCGTTATATTAACAATCGGTTTTTTATTTTTGACAATTTTAACATTTCCTTAAATTTGATGAATTCTAAATTCAACAGATTTGTCCTGATTTTCTTGGTAAAGTTGGCGAAATCTTCTCTTTAATTACTTTTTAACTTTTAATTTACTTACAGTATACAATCAAAACTTAGATAAAAAAGTCGTCGTCATTGTCTTGATATAATTGCACCATAAAAATAATACATTGCGGAGAGGGGAAGGGGCTGAAGGGGGGGTAGCCAGCTAACAAGAGGTTATAAGAATTTCCTTTTTCTTTGTTTGGCTTAAAGATTTTTATAATATTTTGATTAATAATATTCTAGAAAGAGGCAGCCCTCTCCTCAATGAAAAATGTGTAAAACAGGTAGATTTTTTATAATTTTAGCAATTTTTTATATTTTTAAATAATTTAAGAATGAAATACAGTAAGACCCATAATAAAGTGGAAAAGGAATTTCCAGTTTTAAAATTAGATTAAAAATAGACCTGCAGTACAAATACACTGCAAAATTACTGTGTTTCATGGTCATTGGACTGAATTCAATTGTGACTTAGGGTTAACAGTCAATCCTCGTTCTATTCCACAGTTTATGGGTTTTAAGTCGGCTTTTATATCAACACAATGAAGACGGCTTTACAATTTGATTTATATAAAGCTTTTAAAACAGCATGAATGAAAGCAGAAGAAGTTGCAAATTTAAGAAGCTTCTCTTTGATTTCTTATTTACTTTCTATAAGTTGTAAACGTGTGATTCGAAAAAACCTTGTTAACAATCAAAACTTTAAAAAGTCGTCATCATTGTATTGATATAATCGCCGACTACTGTTACATATATATACAGGGCTACCAAACATTAATTCTCACCAATGCAATGTTTGAACTTAGACGTGCACTTGATTCTTAAGATTGTGAATGATAATATGATAATAAATTAAATTATGGATCCACGATATACAGGGATACAGGGATACCCCACAAAGGATGATACAGGGTGTCCCACGAAACATGACAGTTGGTGAATAGTTTTAGATGTCTTCTTCCATACTTTGTTAAGTTGTTTGATACCAAGGAAAATAATAAAAAATATTTCATGGCAGTCATATTATAGTAAAATGGATTTCAAAATAAAATATATTTGAGTAAAAGGTTTTTTATCTTTATAAACTGCAAAAAGTCTTAAACATCTAATACAGTGTATGGAAGAAGATATTCAAAACTATTCACCAACTGTCATGTTTCATGGGACACCCTGTACTTTAATGATGACTATACGATATTTATACTGTCTGTTTCCTCACATATATGATTCCCAACAATTGTAAACTTGTTTCTTTTTTTTGCCAAATCATTGAATATACCATTTAAAGAAGACAATATTCAGGACAAAAAGACACTAATTAACCTTATGATGTTCATATTTTAAGAGTTTCAATTGTTGTATTTAAGAAGCTAAGAAGATATTTATAATCCTAAGTGGGTATATTATACTTTTCAGTGTGCTGTAAATTGTACGGGACAGTGTATTGTGTACTATAAAGTATACAGTGTTCTGCAAAGTGTACTGTGTGCTGTATCCTGTACATTGTAATGTATTTGTTTACTGTTTCCTTATTAAATAAACCGCGCCGCGTAATATCAACTGTACAGTGTACATTGTTTAGGTTTGGCGGATTTTCTGTATGCTCGGGGAAATTATTCAAGATGAACACTCGGGCAATCTTCAGGTAAATCAAGGAAAATGAAATTATTTTAATGTCGTCTCATTTATCATGTTTATTGGAACAACATGTATTTAAAAAATGACAAGAAATGAGATTTTTCATGATTATTCACTAAAACATCTACTTTTTGTTTACTATTTTTTAAATCGCTTAGATATAGATGTACTTTTACCAAAAATACCCTGCCCTCTATTTCCTTATTTTGATATTAATCTATTTCATTTCGCATTTTTTACTTCAAACCCAAATATTTATCGAGAAATCCAGTAATTAAAAAAAACCTTGTGGGTCCAATTCAAGTATGCCAAAATATTAAAAAAAATAACAAAGGCAATGGTGTATATAGGAAAAACTCAACATTTGAAATTTCCCTTCAAAAGCATCGTTCTAAAAATTAAGCAAAATGTCTTGGCAAAATTGTGCTTTCGGAAATTTCCTTTTGTCGTAGGCTGTTTAAATAATAATCCAGCTTTAAAACCAGTGATAGGTGATTAGAAAAGTAAAAAAATAGAATAACCTCCAACCAAAACTTGTTGAGTTATGCCCAAAAACACTAGAGGCCCCCCGTACAAATTACAATAGGGTTTATTTAACGAAGTACGGTAATATTTCTAGAATAATTTTTTCGACATAAATTGAAATAAAATAAAAATTTTATAAGGTTATCATCTATTAGATAATAAGCTTTCGGTGCGTTCTGCACAGAGATAATAGAGTTACATAGATCGATTGAAACCTATGATATGCGATATTTCCCACAGCATGTTCTATTGTGTACAAGTACTGTACACGACCAATCAGCAAACATCTGTATTCAGGGATATTTGGATCCTTTAGATATGGAACAAAAACAGACTGAATTCATAAATGTAATGTTTCACGTTTAAAATTGGAGTATTTCTTTAAAAGTTGTAAAACTTAACCCCTGAATGGGTATTATGTTCAACAAATGGCCGTGAGATGGCACTTTAAAATCCTATCGTAAAAACGTAGCATGTCATGCCGGGTCAACTTATGCCTACGTAGCCCACCCTGTGCAAGGAGATAATCAGTCTGTATAGTCTGTGGTTCTGTAGTAATTTGCAGTACACGGACTGAAGATGTAGAAACGTTAAGTGGAGATTGTCAGACTAAATACATTTGAAAAAAGATCTGAACCCTCTTGGTAAAGATAAATTATAGCACTGCTTTATAGCACTGAGAGCGGAAATAATTAATATTTGTTAGGCTATCATGGCGGCTCGTGAAGTAGAATTGGTTTATCAGCAGTTTATCAACTGTTTGGGGTTAGGGGACTCATGGGACCCGGAACAGTTCGATCAGGTTCAAATTAACTGTTTTCCTGTAGAATATCAGCTGTTATTTCATTATTATTATTATTATTATTATAATCTGATTACAGGTTGTATCGGTGATGCCTGTTTTCAAGTTTTCTATATTTCTTGCTGTTCTAGAATCTAAATATGCCAAGGAAAACAAAAGTCGTTATATAAATCAATTACTACTGATCAATGAATAAATCAAATGAATTAATCAACTTATAAATTTGTCAGTTTATTAAAAAAAATTAAATTTTGTTGGTTCAAATATTTTTTATTTAGAAAGTTTTAGTTTAACTTTATTTTATTTATTAATTTTGGTTAAATTTTAGCTTAAAAATAAAAAATTAAAAAACCAATATTTTACTCTGTTACTGATAAATTAATATTTCCTAATTTGTACTGATACTGCATGTGAGAATGTAAAATATTTTCAAAAATATTAGAATTAACGTAGAAATTTGATTTAATTGATTTAATTGTCAATTGATTGATTGATTCGTCAATTGATTGATTCATTTTTTGGATGGTTTGTGTTGATTGATTGATTGATAAATTATGTTTGGAACTCAGGATCTGGATATCAGCACAACAGAGGAAGCGGTAAGTCAACTTCAACAAAACTTCACTTAAGATAGACTTTAACCGAGTCAATCAAGTAGACAAGTAGACAAGTAGACAAGTAGACAAGTAGACAAGTAGACAAGTAGACAAGTAGACAAGTAGGCAAGTAGAGAAGTAGACAAGTAGACAAGTAGACACGTAGACAAGTAGACAAGTAGACAAGTAGACAAGTAGACAAGTAGACAAGTAGACAAGTGGACAAGTAGACAAGTAGACAAGTATCAAGTAGACAAGTAGACAAGTAGACTGGTAGACAAGTAGACTAGTAGACAAGTAGACAAGTAGAAAAGTATACAAGTGAACAAGTAGAAAAGTAAACAAGTAGACAAGTAGACAAGTATACAAGTAAACAAGTAGAAAAGTAAACAAGTAGACAAGTAGACAAGTAGGCAAGTAGACAAGTTGACAAGTTGACAAGTAGACAAGTAGACAAGTTGACAAGTAGACAAGTTGACAAGTTGACAAGTAGACAAGTAGACAAGTAGACAAGTAGACAAGTAGACAAGTAGACAAGTAGACAAGTAGACAAGTAGACAAGTAGAAAAGTAGACAAGTAGACAAGTAGTCAAGTAGACAAGTAGACAAGTATACAAGTTGACAAGTTGACAAGTAGAAAAGTAGACAAGTTGACAATTAGACAAGTTGACAAGTTGACAAGTAGACAAGTAGACAAGTTGACAAGTAGACAAGTAAACATGTAGACAAGTAGACAAGTAGACAAGTAGACAAGTTGACAAGTTGACAAGTAGAAAAGTAGACAAGTTGACAATTAGACAAGTTGACAAGTAGACAAGTAGACAAGTTGACAAGTAGACAAGTAAACATGTAGACAAGTAGACAAGTAGAAAAGTAGACAAGTAAACAAGTAGACAAGTTGATTAGTAGACAAGTAGACAAGTAGATAAGTAGACAAGTAGACAAGTAGACAAGTAGACAAGTAGACAAGTAATCAAGCAGACTAGTAGCTACAAGGAGAAAAGTAGACAAGTAGACAAGTAGACAAGTAGACAAGTAGACAAGTAGAAGAGTAGACAAGAAGACAAGTTGATAAGCATCAATGCACAATTTGGCTTAAATACTGAAAATAGAATAAAAATTGAAAATTTTCACACATTGCATGAATGCAAGTAATCAAACCTAAGATGCATGCATGGGCAAGTATTAAAATCCTTTGCAAATTCTAAACTGCAAACCAATTTATATGTTGAAATATTCTCAATCTTCAATTAACCTTTAATCAATTGGTTTGGGGCCACAGGGAAGGATTATTTTATAGAGAAAAATTATTCATAGCAATGAATACTTTTGCGCCATCTTTAATAGAAAGAAATGGCAATGTTTTAGTCAAAGAGAATAGAATATATATTAAAGGGAAAGTTAGAGAATCTATCGGTATGAATTTTTTCAGTCCCTTTTAGCCTGAAAGGGAGTTCAAAGTGTACAAATCATGTAAATGTTCACAAATTATATGCAGTAGAGTACATAAATACAGTATGTTCCCTAGACTATCCATTCAAATTTCGAATTTTTTAAAGCTGTTAAATAAACTTTATAGTGAATTAGGTGAATACAAAACATGTAAAGTAAAAGGCATAGAGTCTATGTGAAATGATCATTGGTCAATTATGAAACCAGCCTATTTCATAATTTGGTTAATTTTAGATTTTCTATAAAATAATGTTCCAGGGCCCAAAAGGTTATATAGCATAAATATGTGAAGTACACCTGCAGTATGGAAACAGTACAACAAAATGACCGTTTTACACTTTTTTCTAGTAAATTCCCCTCTAATATATATTCTATTCTCTTTGGTTTTAGTGCGCAAACTTAGTCATCGTGATCCAAAGACTGGAAGCTCAATCACCAATATTGTCGAGAGTTTTCCCAAATATTAAAGTTCAAAACAAGTGTTCTTCCGTTTTAAATAAATATGTCTAGGGATATGGAAAGTTCAATTGAGTGAGTAAGTTAAATCAAAGACCAAGGCTTCGAGATACTTTAAAGTCGACCCAGTCTTGAAAATTGGTGTAACTTTTCATTACAGTCTGGATCTTTCTAAAGGATAAGTTGACAGTTATTAATTTTCAAAGTTCTAATTAACAATTGAGCTTAACACTTGCACACAAATTTTAATTTTCTCATTCTTATAATTTTGAAATCTCAAAATTTTGCACCATCAAGTTGCAAATAATATAGGGATTATAAAATAAAAGTTTAATCCAAGTAAAAGCAACATTGTTGAACATAAACCTACATTACACTGTATCCAAACGTAATGTCACCTTCCTTACCCTTTACTTTTGTATCAGGTCAAATATAAATCAAATAGGGTTTTATAATACTCTATATAATTATAGTTTTAACAAGGAATATATAAATATAATTGTAACAAAGAATATATAAAAATAGTTGTAACAAGGATTATATGAATACAGTTGTGACTAGGAATATATAAATACAGTTGTAACTAGGAATATATAAATATAGTTGTAACAAGGAATATATAAATACAGTTGTAACTAGGAATATATAAATATAGTTGTAACAAGGAATATATAAATATAGTTGTAACAAGGAATATATGAATATAATTGTAACAAGGAATATATAAATGTAGTTGTAACAAGGAATATATAAATACAGTTGTAACTAGGAATATATAAATATAGTTGTAACAAGGAATATATAAATATAGTTGTAACAAAGAATATATAAATATAATTGTAACAAAGAATATATAAAAATAGTTGTAACAAGGATTATATAAATACAGTTGTGACTAGGAATATATAAATACAGTGAATATATAAAAATAGTTGTAACAAGGATTATATAAATACAGTTGTGACTAGGAATATATAAATACAGTTGTAACTAGGAATATATAAATATAGTTGTAACAAGGAATATATAAATATAGTTGTAACAAGGAATATATAAATAAAGTTGTAACAAGGAATATGTAAGTACAGTTGTAACTAGAATATATAACTATAGTTGTAACCATAGATAAAGATAGATTGCGCATAAGACGACATTTTTCATCTTAAAAGATATAAATGTACAGAGATGCTTTAAAGATATTCCTATTATATAGATTAACTAGGTCGGTTGTGAACATTGGATGTTCTTATATCATTAAGTACTTGAGGTGTAAATGAGTTCTGAAGAGAGAAATTTAAGTTAGTTTAGTCCTTCTCATGTTCTTCTTCAGTTTTCGTCAAAATGATATATTTCTTAGTGAAATATTGTTGTTCAAATAGTTCGATTCCCGGAGTTATTTTACACTCTTTTATGAAATCCATTAAAACACCAAACCACCCCGCTTATCTTTGAAGTACACTAGAAGCATGAGTTCGCAGACTGTACAATTCTTGGTGATTTTGCGTACATAAGCTATCTATGTTTATTTATTTATCTATGGTTGTAACTAGAATATATAAATATAGTTGTAACAAGGAATATATAAATACAGTTGTAACAAGGAATATTAAAGTACGGTTGTGAGTAGGAATATATAATATACAGAGCGTCCAATATCATATTAGATTATCTCAAATCTTTAACACCTAAATAGTAAATACGCACATAATACTCGAAAAATCTAGCATTTTCTTAAAAAAATAAATTCTAATAGCCTTATTAAATTTTTCAAAATGATTCATTCTTTTTAAATTTTCTGATTTGTCCCCCAAATCGTAATCTAGACCCATTGACGCGGTCTAATTTGATGTGGGACACCCTGTAGTTGTAACAAGGAATATATAAATACAGTTGTAACTAGAGTATATGAATACAGTTGTAACTAGGAATATATAAACACAGGTGTTACAAGGAATATATAAATACAGTTGTAACAAGAAATATATAAATACAGTTGTAAGTAGGAATATATAAATATAGTTGAAACAAGGAATATATAAATACAGGTGTTACAAGGAATAAATAAATACAGTTGTAACAAGAAATATATAAATACAGTTGTAAGTAGGAATTTAGAAATTCAGGAATACAGATGTAAGTAGGAATATTTATATATAGTTTTAACAAGGAATATAAGTACAGTTACTAGAATATATAAATGCAGTTGCAAAAAAGCATAATTAATTGAATCTGGCTTATAAGAATATACTAATAAGGAGTGAATGGTGGAGGGGGGTGTTTAGATAAATTATAGATGTATTTTTCTCTAAAGCTGGGCATTTTCAAACCTTTTTCAAGCTGTTCGTTAACTAAAAATGTAAGAAAAAAAGCTGGTTGAATTTTGTACAGTCGTCTCTGAAAATTATCCTTTATGTGTAACCCTGTGCTTTCCAAAACCTCTATAAGTATCAGTCAATAAATGTTTTATTTTTTAATATTTCAGGTTAAGGATCTCACTGACTACTTTTTATTGGATGTTATTAAAAAGGTATTGTTTTAGCTCCTACATTTTTGACCACCACAAAGCGAGATGAAAGTCGTCTTTGTTCTAGAACCCACTTTAACCCTAGGTAGACCTAGGGTTAAAAATCCGAGTTGCGCTGATGCCGCAAACTATTACGATTATTTTAACCATGGTTTAAAAAATCTGTCGTCTTCGATCAGTCTACCATGGTAAGAATCTGATTTAACCATGGTTAAAATGTCTTAAGTTTCGGCCTCAGAAATCATGTATATAATTTGGTAAAGTAAGGCCCATCAACTGTGGAATAGGAAGACGACATTTAAGCAATCTCATGTGTACATATTATGTTTTCATTAAAAAGTTCTACCATGGTAATATATTAGATTGAAAAAAGGGAAATGAGTCTGTACTGCACAATTGCCGTAATTCATGTTTCTTGGACTATTTGATTAATTCCAGTCGTTTTTCAAGAAAAGACGACTTTGCTCCGCTTTAAACTGTCATTATTCAATAAAAAAGTAAAAACAAAACTACCTTTCCGGTTTCCCTCCAATCAGATATTTTTGGGAGCGGAAATGGAAACTTAAAAAAAAATTTGTAGCGTAAAACAAGTGGTTTTGGTTTCTTTTGAGTGAAACATTTCTTTAGGGTTAAAATGGGGCAAATTATAATTTCAAAACTTCTCTAAATTTGCTGGAAAAAAAGCAATTGTCGTTTTGGATCGTTATGAAGAAAAAAAATCAATAAAACTTTCGAGATTTCAAAACTGTATTCTGTCAAGTTTCTTTTATTCAACTTTGCAATATTTCTTTCCTAAGCAAATAAGAAAAACGATCAAAAAACGATCAAAAAACGACCCAAAAACGATCCAAAAACGATCCAAAAAACAATCCAAAAAAGATCCAAAAACGATCCAAAAACGATCCAAAAACGATCCAAAAACGATCCAAAAACGATCCAAAAACAATCCAAAAACGATCCAAAACGATCCAAAAACGATCTTATAAACGATCCAAAAATGATCCAAAAAACGATCCAAAAACGATCCAAAAATGATCTAAAAAACAAATCAAAAACGATCCAAAAACCGATCCAAAAGAAGATCCAATAACGATCCAAAAACGATTCAAAAAACGATTCAAAAATGATCCAAAAAACGATCCACGTCCGTTTTTGGATCGTTTTTTCACATATCTTCTGTAAGGGTTAAAATTTGAAATAATCTAAGAAAGAAAATGTTTATAATAAACTATTTTGAATCTAATTGTGTTTCTTAAACTATGCCGAATTTTGACCCCTAAAGAAAATCTATGCAAAAAAACGTGCCAAAATCGAAGCAACTGAATACACATCACACTGTTCAGGGAAAGCTGAAGAAGAGACTAGATCTGTTTCCGTCCTTCAGAGAAAGCTGGATTGTTGTGCGTCCTCATAGAATCACAGGTTAGTCCATACATCTACCAGAATACAGGTTATTCCAAACATCTACCAGAATACAGGTTATTCCATACATCTACCAGAATACAGGTTATTCTATACATCTACCAGAATACAGGTTAGTCCATACATCTACCAGAATACAGGTTATTCCATACATCTACCAGAATACAGGTTATTCCATACATCTACCAGAATACAGGTTATTCCATACATTACCAGAATACAGGTTATTCCATACATATACCAGAATACAGCTAATTACTTATTTTCAAATACGGCTAGAAGTAATCAAATTGATGAAGTAAAGTAAACAAAATATATTTGTAATTGTATTACACATAAATAAATATTTATCTAGTGTACAGCAATTGTAATGAGTTGGATGTAAAGGGAGAAATAGAGTTAAACCAGCAATGTAGAGTGGAAAAGGTAAAAACAATTATAGCAGAGCTAAGAAATGAAAAAATTCAAACTTTACAGTGAAAATATATCAAAAATGTTATAAAACAAAATTAAAATTTTGATTATGGAGAAAAACAAGTTGTATTCAGGTTTTGACACAGACATCTATTATTCCACTGAAGCAATCTCCACATAGGTAGCGCTCATACTTTTTTATAAAAATATACAATTTAAAATTTAAATTGGTTGACTTGAGACTTTTTGATATTCTAATATTAAACATGATGGAGTTAATCTTGTGTTTTTCTTTTTCAAAATTGTATATTTCGATTGTGGTTTCTAATGAAGTTACTTGCATCAGAAAAAAAGAATATCGTCCTGATTAAGGGTTAAGGGTACCACGAACCTGGCTGTATCTAATTTAGGGTCAATTAAAATTTGATTTATATATTGAACTTTTTAGATTTGTTTTGGCAGGGGGCAATAAACAGTTTGAGTTTCAGGCCTACGATCACAGGTACATACAGGGGGACCAACAAAGGATGAAACTGTAAAAACGACTTGAAACTATTCAAATATGAGGAACACCAATTAAATTAAGGCATCTACCTTAAATGTTGTCTCTACATGGTTTGCTTAATGATAATTGGCAAAGAAAGAAATAAGTTTATTTGAATTATGATGTATCATCCTTTGTGGGAATTCCTGTGCATAGATAGCATTAGTACAATTTAAAGTACACACTGTTACTTATTTAACATATAATAGTTCTAAGAATTAATACAAAGACGGCCGTGAGATTCTGAATTAACACTTTAGATTTATCTAAGGTCGTCTTCCTGTTGAATATTTGCTAAACTGGTGACCACAACAGTTCAAATTGAATAATATTTCAGGTCCCGTCTACAGTGGTGTGCGGCATTTGAGAAAGCAATCGAGTTTTCCTACCAAGGATCAAGGTAATAAACTCATTTAATCAATCAATGAATATTTTAAACAAATCATCAAATATATCCATCAATGGTTTGCTCAAAGGATTCATCAATTATAAATCAATTTTAAATGATTATTCATTCCAATGTTTTATATTTTAATAAACTTTGTAATTGATTTAATAATTAATCAATTTGTGATTGATGTCTTACATGATGGCTTAATCAATCAATCAATATTTCAGATACCAACGCAGTTTGGCAGCGGGTCGAAGAGAGCAGAGAGATGAAGAGATTGTAAAGAGAATCAGTCACCAGGATCTGGTAGAGCAGACTAAGTACGTTTTCCTAAACAAGTTAATGGGGACCTTTGTTGTAGGGATTGGACGTTTTCATATTTCTGCAAACAAACTGATCTTTCAATCAACAATGGAAAAAAAGGGAAAAACGAAACGATAGGCTTTAAAAAGTATCATGAAAATAAGTATTTGTGGTTCGTTGTTTGGTTACCAAAGTTATGGTCGTTTTTGAACTTTGACGATCCCGAAGAATCTACCTTTATTAATGATCATGATCGCCAAGAGCATCACCAGGATCTGGGAATAGACCTAGATACGTTTTCTTAATCAAGTAAATGGTGACCTATATATGGTTCAGTTTTGTCTCTTTTTAGTTTTTTTTTTTGTCTTTTTTTGTGCACATGGTTTACTTTAAGAATAATATACAATCCATTTCCACAAGTTGAATTTAAAAGTTTTAATTTGACAGTTCGCGTAATTTCAAGTAACCCTCCAAATTCAAGTGATTATAACAATTCCCGATTTATAATGGAACCCTTAAAATTATGGTCTGAAAATACATGTTTTTGTTTATTTAAAGTATTTATTTTATTGTGCTTTCTCTGCAAAAACTTTAGATTTATTGCTCATAAGAAACAATGGAGAAATTCACAGAATTTAACACATTTAAGTCAGAAAAACGAAGTTATCTTCCACAATGTTTAACAGATAAAGGTTTCAAGGGTACTGTTGTAAATCGGGCATTGCTATCTTTACCTTTAACGGTAGCTTAATATTACTTTTTCAGCTTTAAATCTTGTTAGTTTAAATTTTTTCCCCTAGAAATCTTAAGAAAAACATTGATTTCATTGATTCCTGAACTAATGCAAGAAAAAAATCAAATCAAATCAAACTGCGATTCAAGATGATAATAATAATAATAATTCATTTTTTTACAGAGCAGAGTTGGAGGCTGAAAAAGAGGCAAGAATGAAGGTAAACCGTTTCTATATTGAACTATTATTTTTATTTTTTTAAATTTCAATTATTTTTATTATTTTTTTACTGTTTTGATTATTGTCATTATAATAATATTCATTTTCGTTAAAATTATTTTTATTATCATTTTGATTATTAAATTTATCATTACAATTATAAAGGCTGAAAGTAGAGCCCTTGTGTTAACTATACAGAAAGAAGAGGAACTGAAAAGAACACAGGAACTTGAAATTATAAGGTAAAATAAGGAACTTGAAATTATAAGGTAAAATAAGGAACTTGAAATTATAAGGTAAAATAAGGAACTTGAAATTATAAGGTAAAATAAGGAGCTTGAAATTATAAGGTAAAATAAGGAACTTGAAATTATAAGGTAAAAATAAGGAACTTGAAATTATAAGGTAAAATAAGGAACTTGAAATTATAAGGTAAAATAAGGAACTTGAAATTATCAGGTAAAACAAGGAACTTGAAATTATAAGGTAAAATAAGGAACTTGAAATAATCAGGTAAAAATAAGGAACTTGAAATTATAAGGTAAAATAAGGAACTTGAAACTATAAGGTAAAAATAAACATAAATATTTTTAAAACATTTTATCGTGAAGACTGGAAACATGTGCGATAACAATTGTTTAGTTTTTATTCCTAAAAGGGTCAGTGGTCACTGTAGATGTATTTCGACTCACAACGGTACCCTTTAAATCTTTGTAGTCATCCCTCTTTTTTAATTTTAAAAATGGATTAATTTCAAATGCGAGTTCTCTGTTAAATGTTTAGCGGGGGTATCCAATAAAAGAGAATGAATAAAGCTGCCAGAATTAAACACTTTCAGACAGAAATAAGACAATCTGCCTGATTTATTGTGAATCGGACATGCGACTCTAGAAATGGATGGTCACTTAAAATTACGTCAATTATTCCCGTAGAGAAACCGTTTGGTCTTTGTCTTTTTTTTTTTTTTTAAATGGGAATAGAAACTTTGAAAAGTTGATTTCAGGTCTACAAAAAGGTAAAAATTGAAGTTAAGGCAAAGCCAAGGGCAAATTTCGGCGACCTGACAAAGTTGGCCCGATCTAATGAAGTAAGGATGAGACAAAAATTGAACAATTTCTTTGCTTTGTTTAGATTATCTAATTGATAGAAGCCTCCTAAAAGCCAAAAATATAATAATAATAACGACGCCTATTATAAAATGGAATAATGCAATTTTTACTTAAAATTTTTTTTTACAACACAGCACTAGCAGTATAGGATGTTGGCAAAATATAATTGGGAAAACTTTATTTTAATTCAATTCCAATTTTTTTGTAGATGTCCTAATCTATATGTTACTCTAAACTGCAATAATTTTCTTTACTCCGATCAAAACAAACCGTTCCTAATATTTCCAAAAAAAAATTTTATTTTTTTATAAAAATTGCCAAAGATTTTGATCCTTCAGACCGGTATGACCGATATTTTTCATTTGAAGAAGATTGTTAAAAAAAATAGAAAATTATATGACTTTTTTCTAAATTTTCTCATTTTGTTTAGAGAAGAATTAGAGAGACTCTTAGAAGAAGAAAAGCAGGCTAAACGGGACGAAGAGATAGTTCGCACCCTTCAGGTATATCTATGTATCTATCTATTATCAATCAATCTATCTATCTATCTATCTATCTATCTATCTATCTATCTATCTATCTATCTATCTATCTATCTATCTATCTATCTATCTATCTATTTAAAACACATTGGGTCAACCATAAACTGGGTACCCTAGACGGGCCGGTACAGTAAAAAGTAAAGGCTAGACAGGCAACTTTTAAACTAATATGGGCGCTCTGGTCTGTTACTCTACTCTTGGTTTAGTTTTTCTAAAATTCCCTCTGCACACTGTCAACTCAGGTTCATTTCAAGTGCCGGGCAGACTTTTAACCCGCTCGGACAAGCTGTACAGTACACTTACAGACATTAAATAATGCAAAACAGGACGGCACGCCTAATGAATGATATCCTTCCAGTGAAATTTATGTATCTGGCCCCTTACTTTAACGTTTGAAATTACTTGTTGTCTAGACAAATCATACATCCATAGATAAATAAATAAACATAGATAGCTTATGTACGCAAAATCACCAAGAATTGTACAGTCCGCGAACTCATACTTCTAGGGGTAAAAGTGTATTTCATTGATAAGCAGGGTGGTTTAGTGTTTTAATGGATTTCAAAATAATGGGAATGGAACCATTTGAACAACAATATTTCACTGAGCAATATATCATATAGACGAGAACTGAAGAAGGACATGAGAAGGACTAAACTAACTTAAATTTCTCTCTACAGAACTCATGTGCACCACAAGTACTCAATGACATAAGAACAGCCAATGTTCACAACCGACATAATTAATCTATATAATAGGAATATCTTTAAAACATCTCAGTAGTCTGTACATTTATATCTTTCAAGATGAAAAATGTCGTCTTATGCGCAATCTATCTTTATGCATACATTGTGCAGAATGAGAGTCCAGAAAATATTTGTTTTTTTCAAAATTATCAACGATGACAAAAAGAATAGTAAAATTATAATTTTCTGTATTAACTGTAGCCAATTTATAAAATAAAAAAATAAAAAATAAATTGTTTTAAAAAAAACTTGTTTTTTAGGTTGGATGAGGAGTTAAAAAAACTTAAAGAGAGAGCTAGGCGGGTCAACGTGGGTCAAGAAGTTCTGGAGGCTAAAATAAAGGTAAACTTTGAGACTTAAACTAATCTAATTATAACATTTTAGAGGCCATAGTCCTTGGCTAAAGAAACCAACTGATGATATGGACTGTAAGCTAAAGCTAAATTATAATTGAGCCTCCGTTTAACCCTAGGCAGGCGCTTTCCAGATCATTGATCAGATAAAGGTTTCAAGGGTACCATTGTGAATCGGAAATTGCAATTAATTCCTTTAATTTATACATAAGTTGTGATTGCAAGTAGAATATTCGCAATATTTACAAATAATAGCGCAAAAAGAAAGATCGTATATGTACATAACAATAAGTTTTTTTCCAGTATCTCTTGTTCTAAAGATAACATAAAGATAACATGAGGCCGAATTTAAAGAATTTGAGCCGCGGCTTAAATCCACCAAAACCCGGTTTAAATCAAGCGCCGGCTTAAATCTTGAAACATTTATACAATTTTAAGTGGAACCAACCATATTTAAGCCGCGGCTTAAATTTAAGCCGCCGCTCAAATTCTTTAAATTCGGCCTCTGGACACATATTCTTTGATAAATGCTACAATTTTAGGGTTTTTAATTCAGGTGCATGAGCAAGAATACGAATTCCATAAAGAGCTTCCGAGAGTTCCTACCCTTCATCCTTCAACCCTATCAGTTCTTCAGGTATCTAGTTCCTACCCTTCATCCTTCAACCCTATCAGTTCTTCAGGTATCTAGTTCCTATCCTTCATCCTTCAACCCTATCAGTTCTTCAGGTATCATAGTTCCTATCCTTCATCCTTCAACCCTATCAGTTCTTCAGGTATGTTCCTACCCTTCATCCTTCAACCCTATCAGTTCTTCAGGTATCTAATCTGTGGATCAACATTGTATTCCCAATCTATAAGAGAGAGAGAAAAACCTGAAAATATCGTCCTATTTCTGGTTAGTTTCATCCTCTAGATATATATCTAAGAATTTTTACATAGCCTAGGACGATAGACAAAGGATGAACAACTTTTCCTACACTTTAATTTAATTTAAAATTATCTCCATCAGTGAAAACGTGTTTGTTGTGATTCAGAAGTAGAAACGATACCTGAAAATTTGGTCCATTCTGTTATTTTAACATTTTGTTAAAGGTTTGAAAATGCACAGTCCTAAACTGTAGTCACTGAAAATTTTACTCTTATAAAAACAGGTTCCAAATTATGTTTCTTGGTTACACCCCTTAAATAAACTCTGATTTGGAAGTTAAAGGGACTGTTCACGTATTTGGGTAATTTCGGGGTAAACTAAATAGCTTATTGGCTATTGATTAATATTGGTCTTACTTTTCAAAGGCCGGAGAAAAGGCCGATTTTGCGTTCAGAATTCGAGCGGAAAGCTATGATACCTGTAAGGAGTTGTGAGTACCTACAGTTTAACCAAGAACATATGGAGATATCAAAAGAATTTATGAAATGATTTCTTGACAGTTTTTCAATGTTTTTTTTACGACAGGGTGTCCCAATAAACATGGGAATTCAGTGACGAATTCGATATCGTCTTTTCAAATAATTCTTTGATTTAGTATAGTGATACCTACAGAGAAAGCTGTAATCTATAAGAGTTTCGTCTGCCATATTTTGAAATTAGGTATTACAATGCTAATTCATAACAAAGACGATATTGAATTCGTCACTGAATTCCCATGTTTTTGGGACACCCTGTACTATCCCTGTTTCTCCGAAGTTCTGGGTCAAAGCCAGAGACCAAATCCCAACCAAGAGGAATGAAACTCGAAAATTTGTTCCATTTCTCGTTAAGTTCATTCTCAAGATTTCGCATTCTACAAATAGAATTGTACTTTGAAATTTATTAAGTTCTATTTTAAAATGTTTTAATAATCCAGGATGTTGGTGAGGGAACCCCTAAATACCGACCATTGCGTTCAGCCAGTATGAGAGAAACAAGCTACTCTAGATCTATCAGAAGAAGGTATACAGGGCGTCCCACTAAACATGACAGTTGCAATCAAAACCTGTAGGTCGTCTTTGATTTTTGCTCTTTGCTGCATTTTTTTTGTCAACCTAATTTTAGAAGAAAAAAATTTAGGGATAGTTATCACAAAATAACCCTTGTCCTGGCATTTCCAAAATGTGGTCTGTTTATTTTGTGCTTTAGATACTACCCGAGATATGAAAAATATCAACATTCTTAATATCAGCAGTAATATTCACAGCACTAAAAAGGCAGGCCATATTTTGGAAATGCAGGGGCTAGTAGAATTTTGACGACTGAATGTCACAAAATAAATCCCAAGATTAAAGACGACTTAGCTTAGGGAACTAAACTTTCCATACAGTGAAAACCAGTAAACGTTGTAATAGGAAGACGACATTAAAGTGTATTCGATGTTATTACAAGGCAAATAGTTATACGAGTAAGTTATCAAATCAAATGAGTCTGTGTGCACTGCCCAATTGCTGTGTCTCATGCTCATTGGACTATTTAAAGTCATAACTTTGAGTCTTAAAGTCATCATCAAAGTTTTCTGGTTATCACTGTATAAAAATCTACCCTTTAAGCTTAGAATGTTTAAACCAATCGAAAAACATTCCCCAGGTTCAACCAATCAAAAGGAATTAATTTTTTGCCAGAAACTAAAATTTTCTTATCCCTTTATCTTTGCAACCTGATGGTGTAAACCTTTGACATTTCAAACTCAAGTAGCTTCATCTAGCAGAATTTATAGTTTAAACTATCAAAGGTCTACTATACTATATCGGGTCGCGAAGACATTGGGATTTAAAAATTATAGTTTTGGGCAAAAATTCAGTACCTTTGAAGTAAATCCTTTAAGGGGTTCATGAGTTATTATCGAACATACGAACAAACAGAGATTACTACTTTATATAAAGCTAGCTTGGAACCTCAGCTAGCTTTCCCTGGAATCTAAGTTTCCCCTAATGAAGCAACTCACTGAACTTTTAAACCAAGCAAAGAATATTCCCTTGGTTCTACCGAGCTCCCCAATCAAAATTTGAGGCAAATCATTCAAGGGGTTCCTGAGTTATGATCGGACATACATAATATACTTTTAAACATATTTAAAATTTCTAGGCATTTTGAAAATAAAATTTTATTTTTTAAAGGAATCGAAATGAGAATAAACCGGTTTCTGGAACACACGCTGAAGAGGTAAACAACAACAACAACAACAATGAGGATTAAACATCAACATCAACATCAATATCAACATCAATACAACATCAACATCAACATCAACACCAATAATACTTCAACATTTTATCAATTTACCAATTAACAGAATTTTCATAATTTTGTTGTTCTTTAATTTTTAATTTTTAATTTTGTTCATAAAGAAAAAATGACAAAATTGTTAAACGATAACCCAAAAAAATAGTATTTTCTTCATAATTCAAAATTAATTAATTATTTATTTGGTTAACAAAATTGTAACAATGGGATTTTAAATACCTGAATGTTTAAATTTAATACTTGGTTGTTATAACTATCCAACCATTTGGCGTGGACTTGATTGAAGTTGGCCTCCATTAAAAGAGTTCAAGTCTGATTCGCAACGAAGTCGCCATTTTATATCTTAAAAAAATATCGAATTCATCTTAACTTGTAGCATTGTTTCTGGAGCATAAAAAGCAACATTGAAATTTATCCATTTTTAGATAATAAAACAATGACATGCTCATTCATTCTTGAGCAGAGAAAGGTGTTGTGAATCTGAAATATATTTGAAATTATGTCTACATTACCTTTAAGATTAAATTTTACAAAAGCTAAAACTTGCCCTTTAACTCTTTAAATTTAACTCTTTAAATTGTGATTGTTAATAATGGTTGTTAAGCATTCAGCTAACGATCGTTTATGGTTGTTTTCGTATTAAAAAACGTTATTAACGTTTTTTTAATGAAAAAACGTTATCAACGTTTTGTTTGATTGAAAAAAACGTTATCAGCATTTTGTTTTATCGAAAAAAACGTTATTAACGTTTTGTTTTATATTTAAAATTCAGAAAAACCTCTTTATATTTTTAGAATTTGTTTTCGCTAAATAATTGTGTATTTTGCTTAAATCATGACATATTGGTATGAAATAGTAGATCTGACTAAAATAAACATATATATTATATAAATATAAATAAAAACTATAATTGTTGTACTTATACTTATTGAACTAATCAACACATATTCAGGGTTTAAGTTTTACAGAGAACTATCTCGATTCTCTTTGTTAAAAAATTGTTTAAAAAATACATTTCTGATCTGAAAATATAATTTGGAAATAAGTGTTTTGTAATTTTCAATAAAACCTAGATTTTATTTCTAGATTTGAAATTTTGAATTCAAAATTTGACAGCAAAAGCGATTTTTTGTTAAACAGAAGGTTTATAGTTGCTTATTCGGCAGCCCTCCAGCTGTTGCTGCCAAACAAGAGTTTTATTTTTTATTTCGAAATTTACTCTAGAAAGTTGTAACAGGGATCTGAAGAGCAAAGATTCTAAAAGTCAGAATGATAAAAATAATTTTTGCCGAAAAACTTGCCAAATACAATATGGGTGACATCAAAACAAATTATTAAATGATTTCTTAAACCTGAATATTAATTAGATTTCTAGAAACTTTTTCTGGAATCTGAATTCAGGGTCGTCTTCTAAATTTAATTTATTTATGAAATTCTCAAACATGGTATTCTTGCAATATTTTAAAATACATATTTCTTTCGAAAACTTTTGTTCATCAAAATTTAAAGAGAATAAAAGAAATGTGAGAAAAGATAATTGCTATCGCACCTCTGCTTCTACAGTAAAAGTAAATTCAACTTATATGAAGCATAAAGTCTGACCGCGTCAACCTTGTTGCACCGGCTAGTCCTGTCCATAGAGCTAGGTACAGTAATCTTGGACTGGAATGGTTGACCCGGCTCGGAAATTCAAATGTACTACGGCTGCCCGTGATATTGTATTAAGATAAAATTGAATTTAAATCGGGTTCACCAAGCAATTCATAAATATAAAAAAGATATTCGTAAATATGAAAAAACATATCTTATAAGTTTTAAGTCGTCTTTAGTTTTACAGTCTCGTCCTTTGTGGATAACACTGTATGTACTCCATTCTAATTCTCAGATCTAATAATTGATCAGATACACTATTGTAAATTATTACAATTAAGTTACAAAGAAAATGAGTCTTTGTCACAAACTTAAATTTTCCAATCCCTATATCTTTGCAACCTGATGTTGTAAGACTGTAATATTTCAAACTTAGATTACTTGATATATCAGAATTCATAGTTTAAAACATCTAAGATTTACGATATAGGGTTGCAAAGATATACGAATTAGAAAATCATAGTTTGTGGCAAAGACTCAATTCCTTTACTTAATACAATTTTGCGTCAGATTTTGATGAAATTCTAGGATATGATAGATACATAGATTGATTGATAAATCGGAAATAATTTAGACAAGAAAATCTTAAATCTAATCCTAAATTAATATTTGACAATTTTTCTTGCTTAAGCATGTCTTAGATTCTAAAACAACAGATTTTGTCTAAATTTGAAAAATCTAGCAAAAAGTTTAATAAATTGGCAAAAATAATTTTTAAACGTTGGATCTGAAGTTCAGCATTTTCGTGAAATTTCGTGAAAGTGATTTCTCAAAAATTTTGAAATTTTACACACTGCAAACTAGACATACAGCTAGAATGTAAAATGTGTGCGACATCCCTGCTACGAATTTGAGACTTCGGTATTCAGAGCTTAGGAAAAACTCTATCTGAGCTGAAAACTTTAGAATGGGATATCCTTAATCCCGATCAGTTAATTAATCTGGAGATTAATAACAAGAGGTAAACAAGCATTATTTGATCTCGAGATTAAGAAAAAGAGTGGATCAAGCTTTAATCCCGCTATGAACCATTCAAAAGTTCCCAGCTCCAGTTACATATTAGAAATTCTCAACATTTTTGTTCTTCTCAATAGTTTTTCATCACGAGGAGTAATTATTGATTGAAAACATATAAGATTTCAATCTAACGTGGAATTTAGTTTGACGTGAAATAGCATTTGCAACATAGTGACTTAATCCTAATCCTTTCTTACTCTTTAATTCAATTCGATATCCTGCTCAACTAAATTATCTAAATTGATTCATTTCATTAATATTAATTAGTTGGGAGCATGCGCCAATTTCAGGGAAGCAAAGTGCGAAAATACCCCCCCCCCCTCTCCCCAAGGAGATATGATGTTTTATAAAATATTGCATAACCTTTAGATTTAACCTATAATAAGCTTGTCCGGATTTTTTTTTTTTACTTTTCCGCCCCTTTCTGGGTAGGCGTTTCTTACAGTACATCTGGTTTATTCTAGTAAATGGTAGTGATCAGATAGGAATTGAGTCTAAATGCATTAAACTAAACTATCTCTTTACAACCTGATTGTGTAAACCTTTGATATTTCAAACAGAGACTATTTTATCTAACAGAATTCGTAGTTTAGAATATTATATATTATATTGGCTTGCTAAGATATATGATATAAGAAGATCAGAGTATGTGGCAAAACTCTGTATTAATTATATGTTGTCTCTGTTTCTTTAAGTTATAGAAGAGCATCGGTTTCGTTAACGAACGTTTTTTTGGTGAAAAACGAAAAACAAACCAAAAAAAATAATTTAAAATGAATATTTGTTTTTATTTAAGGAACAAATTTTAAATCGTCATAATTAGCGAATTTTTTTTCAGGAAAGCCATGACAGTACAGAGTGATTTACAATGGGGGGGGGGGTAAGCCTTCAGTCTCCCCCTCCCCTGAAATTACAAAAATGGAGGGTCATGTCCGATTATTAACAGTACCCAATTTAAACCTTTAGCTAGTCCTTGATGTGGAAGTTTTTCTGGCTTAAATAATAATTCTTACAATTTTCTCAATATTCAGGAAGAAATCTACATGTCCCCATTATAAAACCACAATAAAAAGTAATCATTGATTTTTTAAAGATACCAGTTTAAATCGGTTTGTCGGAACACCCTGTATGACGTCAAATTAATAAATACGGAACATGTTTTAGCGAATTGGGTAGTAAGTAATATACTCTATAATTCATCAGTCGATATCTGGGCTTTGGATAGTTAACATACGTCCCACCCTGGACTGAACAGGGCGACATACGTTCGGTTTCTTCTTTTTCAATTCTATCCCGTTATGTTCTATAATTCAATAAACTTCAAACTTACGAGGTTGTCATTTTTTTACTTTTTCATTTAAAACGCTTAATTGAAGTATAAGAAAGGTGAAAAAAATATGTTTAATAGGTCAAATTGTGATCAAAAGTACACAGGTTGATGGGATCAGCGTAATACAGAAGGTATCAGGATAACGCCTGTGCTGGATACTTTTAGGTTAGATATTGATCAATCTGATCTCGCTTAATCTCGATATCCCATTTGGGCATTTTCATTTGAGGATCTATAAAAAAACTATACCTTTCCATTTCTTCAATTTAGTTATTCATCTCTTCAACCCCTGACTGGGTTATACGATAACTTTGAAGGATATCGAATAAATATTACATTAATCTGCAAATTATCAAATGATTGAGATCAAGCATTGATCACAATATATACAATACAAAAGTTCCCAGCTCTCTGTATGTTTTCACCGCTTCAAAATGTTCCTGATTTCCAGAAAACATTTTATTAGTTTCTCTGAGATTAATTTAAGACCAAATAAATCACGACTAAAATAAAAATCTAAAATAAAAAATGTTACTTAAGAATTTACCTGAATTCATGTCAGAACAAAACATCTGAAAATGTAAATTCTTAGTTTATGCACTTCTATAAATTATTCTTCTTTGCAAATTATTTTTTCTGTTTTAACTCCCCCCCCCCCC